TCTGATTGCACTCTTTGGTATTATGTGTCTTGACACAGTCGTTCTGATCCACTCCCCAGACAGCCTCTCTCTGTTCCTCAGCTCTTTTCCACATTGAGGTAGAGAAACCCAAGGAAGGTGCAAGAGGAGAGGCAACCTATCAACCTAAATCTGGACCATTTATCTCCACTCCCTGGCATGCAACCTCCTTTTTGTGGTTGTGCCTTTTAGGAAATGTTACCCAACAGTGCTCAGTGCATTCAGAGTTCTAGCTGTCACCATCCCCAATCCATTCTCCTTGCCTCCACAAAGACAAAATGCAGGGAACATCTAGGAAAATCACAAACAAAAAACAACTATGGCTGGACCACCCCACCCCTAGTAAAATTGAAGTTGGATAACAGCAGAAGACAAACACCCTTGTTTAAAGTTTGCTACAATTTCCTTCCTGTATATCTAAGTTATGAGAACATCTGCAATTGCAAGCACTGAACCATATGGAATAGAAAAGGGTGGCATCAGACAGAATGACCAGTTTTGGACCCCTTTCGTTCCACGTATGCAGTAGCCTGACCGTCAGGGACATGGTCACTGCCTGCGCAGATTGGAACAGGTCAAGGGCTCTGAGGTTGGACTTTCAGTTGGTGAGTGGAGATAACCCAGGCAATTTCACTGGCTGGCCAGCAATAATTAACCCCACTCTTCCCAATGAAGGAAGAGCATGCGGACAACATCATGTTTTGAAGGCGAGGCATCCGCCTGCAATGCCAACGTTCACAGCGTGTTCAGGGTTTCCAGGAACAAAAGAAGAACAAACTGCTCTGACGATTATGGGCGGGAGGAGGTAGCTAGGTTTTTCTTCAGCAAAGGAATCTATGAGGATGAAGCTTATATGGTCTGCTTACTTTTAACATAAAAGTTCAAGTGGAGTTTGGTGAAAACGTTTTCGGTGTAGCTGTTGTTTATTTTTTTAGTGTGGTGTCTGTTCCTTTCTGGATTTGTATACTTACTGTCTTTTAATGATGTAAGCCACCTTGGGTCCTTTGTAAGGAGAAAGACAGGGGGAAATTATTAAATAAATAAATTTTCCTTTCCTTATCTGACTGTTGGGATGACCACGTCTAGACCTTCCATTTGAAACTCTCAGAGATGCCCAAAATTTTGCCATGCTTTTTCTAAAGGTTCTGAGATAGGTACACAATGCCTGGTGGTCTGGAATTGAAATCACCACTGAATCAAACTAGGAAGTACTTTTAGCTTGTATTTTGAAGACATGCCCCTCCCAAGTGATTTTCCCCACTTAGATATTTTGATTTTAGCATGCTTTGTTTTATGACTGAGAAGTAAAGACTTGTTTTCTTTACTGACTCACTTTACCTTTTAGTCTCTAGATTCCAGTATTTATTTACTTGGTCTACAGATTTATACAGATTTTCCCTGGAAAAGATCCTGATGTTGGGAAAGTGTGAAGGCAAGAGGAGAAGGGGATGACAGAGGATGAGATGGTTGGACAGTGTCACCGAAGCAACCAACATGAATTTGACTCAACTCCGGGAGGCAGTGGAAGACATGAAGGCCTGGCGTGTTCTGGTCCATAGGGTCACGAAGAGTCGGACATGACTAAACAACAACAACAGATTTATATCCAGACCTTCAGTGCACATGCTGTATTTCCAGGGCAGTTAAAAGTCACCCTTGATTGGGGGAAAACACACCATACCATTAGTAAAGCACATAAAATACAAGCACAGCTAGAAAACAGGCACACACCCTGCCTTGAACTATCGTTTTCCTTGAAGAATTTCCTACTTCTCACATGCAGCTTCCTTCCTGTGTGACTTAACATCTACGTAAACATATTTGGGATCATGACAGGGGCAGAAAGAAGCTCTGTAGGGTCCTTGTGGAGAACAAAACAGTACATTCTGTGTGGAATTGCAACTTTCCATTTCCAACTGGCTGTGGAAAACCAGACACTTTGCCAGGGCTTAATCCAACTTCCCTGTGGGGAGAGGGCCTAAGTCATGAGATACTTATAAGGGTGTGCTCATAACCTCCTGTGCACCTGTTGAACCAGCAATGGGGTGGATGGGAAGGAAGGCCAGTTTATTTGCAGAGGCTCATGCACAAATAGCAACAAAACTTGCTTAGTTAAAAGCCTTTGAATATATGTGGCATGTTTGTGTACTTACTTATGGGAACACAATAGATTTCCAGCAATTAAACGGCATTTATACTGATTCATGGTCATAACACTAGTTTAGAGGGTCAGAATTTGGCATTTGTGATGCATCAAGAACACTGGTTGAAGTTTCACATATACAAATTAATTTGAGCCAGTACAGTGTCTTTGCTTGACATAAACTGGCCATGGGCCAAGACACTGGACATTGCTGCAGTAGAAGGTCAAAAGCAATCTGAAAACATACAAACCATTAGTGTTCAAAGTGCAACAGCTAACAGGCCTGCTGTGTTCGAGAACACTAAGCCATGTCTTATCTTCAGGTTTGGAATTCATGTTTGCAGAGAGCGAGTGATCAGATAACCAGGGAAACATGCTTCATGTTCAAAATAAAACATGCTTTATGCCTACATTCTTAGATGTCTTGGAAATGTTAGTTTGGACCACAATTCCCAGAATTCCTTAGGCTGCTGGGACATTGGTCATACTGGCCAGGGGCTTCTTGGAAATGTAGTAAAAAAGTAACTCTTCTAAATTGTGAAGCTGTGATGAATTAACAAGAACCAATTTTCAATTGTTTCACCAATGTCAAAATAGTTTGTTATGTTCTGGCCTAGAGGAGGAGTTGGGGTTAAATTCTTTTTTTGCGTGTGTGATCACAGAATGTCAGAATAAGTTGACCATTTTCTATTTCATACAAAACTTTACTTCAATGAGTGTTTTGAATTGAGGAAAATTAAAAATGCTGCCGCTTTGAAACAGAGCAGTATCCTTTCCTTGTACATACAGCAGTTGTATACTTGACGAAAAACACATGCTTGTATTTGAATGGGTTGTTTCTCTGGCCACTTGTTTTGTTTACGAAGCGATATCACTCCTCAAAGAAATATTGTGATTGACAAACACTTATTGGAAATACAGTTTAAATATACCATTCCATGCAACTTTATTTTAAAACTAAAACTATTCGGATAAATTGTTGGCTATGTTGGGATTTTTAAAGAAAATAAATAAATAAATAAATAAATAAATAAATAAACAAGGACATATTGCAAAATAAAATAAAGTAAAATTTAAAAATCAGAAGGTGTTTTATTCAAAGCTTATCTAAAAGTGATGGACTCTTGACAAGATGTCTTATGCCATGTTTTTAGATAGGAAGTGAACAAAATTTACAATATTTAAAAATTCAGACCAGAAGCAAATAGTTTTCAGCTTAGTGAGACACACTTCCAAGTAAATATGCTGAAGAAATCAACAAAGTGCAGAGCAAAATTAGGGGAGAACCATTTTCATGAAATTATTTCTCAAATTACTAGATAAGATGTTGATTCTGTATGAAGATTGCCTGTTTTTCCTAATATGGGCTTGCCTCAATCTGCATTGAGCAATCTTCCTTTTTAAAAATGGGTCAGGTGAGACATATCAAGACATTATCTGCTTGTCTGATTTCTCAGGCAAGTAGTACTAAAAGATTTACATGCCTGAAGAGATACACTCTTAAAAAAGGAAATACAATTGTGCCTTAAAGGGTGTTCTAAACCTGATAGATTTCTGAAAATTTTGGAATAATCATTGTTCTGCTCTAAGCAGAAGGTGTCCAAGAGAAGGCCAGAAGGCCCAAGCTAATTTTGAAAAGAGAAGGTTAAAGTATTATATCATTGCAGTTTTCAGATTCTGTGTGTGGCCACTACAAAAAAATTGAAAAATCTGTCAGGTTTGCTTCCCCCTGCCCTCACTCACCAGATTTGCTTTAAAAACAGAATCTCAGGTTCTATTCATTCCAAATATATGATTTGTGAATTTTTGCAAATTCCTAAAGTATGAATTGAAAGTAAATTCGCACCTATTTGCAATGGCCAAATTCAATTACTACTGTTTTTCCCATTATGGAGATGACAATGTTGTGCCTGCCTGCCATGTATGTATTAAAGATGAGGGGGAAAAAAGAGAGTTGGCAACCCTAATTCAGCACTACTTCAAATAAATAGCCATCCAAGCTCAGATTTCTAAAAGAGTTAAACTATGAAATTCACGTGCATGAATGGGTTAGTCCACTAATTTCAATTTCTTCCACATGAGATTTCCCACACACACACATTCTTTCCATTCCAAATGCAAATAAATGTGAACGTTCATAAATTCTCAGAAAATTTAACTGAAAAGAAATTATTCTCTTTCTAATAAGGAAACATTAAGAAATGTATGAAAAGAAGATTTTACATTATTATTATACATTAGCCCCTATAGCTGTGTCTGCACACATGTGGTTAAAGTGTGAGTCATTAACTGGCATTAATTGATGTTGCGATCTTAGATTGTATATTAGGAAATAATTTTCAGCTGTCACGGTCAAATAAATTTGTAGAATCATCACTGGAAAGTTTGCGTGTATCTGATCTTTTATATTCCAACTGATTTTGACAAGCAATTTTAACTGAATTGCGGAAACTGCCTTTTCAGGAGATAGGAGCCTTTTGGTCCCTTTGTGTGAGCCGTACTTAAATCTGGAAAAGTTCAGCTCAGAGATTTGTATTCCCTCATAGTGGTATTCCTCTGTCAATCAAAAATGCTGGTGATGAGGATATGTGTCGACTAAAACCACAACGCTTCTTCTATCTGGGTGATAAGGGAGCAGAGTTAGGTTTTCGTGCTATGCTGAAAGTGGCACAACACATTTACCTTGATGACAACAGGCTGTTCAAATGGCTTGTTTGTTCCTCTTACATAAGTCGCTTTCAACTTGTTTGTCCCAAGTAGGGGCGGAGGGGGAAGCACCTTTGATCAGGAGCTGTTTTTGTGAACAAAGTGGTTCTGGGTCCAAAGCTCAAGCCGCCATAGAGAAGCAAGAATAAAAGGCAGCCGGGAGAGCAGTGTAAGGGCGCAGTACAGCCTCAGCACAGCTGAAAATACTTTCCTCGCTCAGTTGTTGCTGATAGAATAGAAGCCAACATGGACGTTCTTCATCACTCAGGCATCCAAGCCACACACTACCTCCAAACAAGCTACCCGGGATCTCAGGATTGGTTCCTCTTTGTCTCATTTGCTGCCGACCTCCGAAACACCTTTTTTGTCCTGTTTCCTATCTGGTTCCACCTCTGCGAAGGCGTCGGGATCAAGCTCATTTGGGTGGCTGTGATTGGCGACTGGTTGAACCTTGTATTCAAGTGGTAAGTAGCATGCCCTCTTCTTAAGCTCTTGCTGGGTGAAGCTTCTTCTTCATTTGGATTTCAGCTCCAACAGATGCCATGTTGTTTGAAAGACAGATTTGTCTCACTAAGAGCATCCATAGCAAACTGGGGGTTAAAAAGGAAACCCTTCTAGCTCAAAAATCATGGCTCAGGGAAAGTGTGGACCCTGGTGATTCTTTTTGAAAGAAATTAACCACTATGGACGACCCACTCTCTTTTAGTATGTAAATCCTGCCATTACAGTGGCCTGGAGGGAACACGATTCCACACTCCTCTTTTCTTCTGCGTTCTACAACGTCAACAGCATACGGCAATCTTGCTGGGACCATCAGATGAGGGAAGGTTAACAGTTGCCCCCCTGCCATGACTTTGGTGAACTAAGTGCAGTATAGATGCCCTCAAAAATGGTAACTAGAAAAAAAAATTCCATTCATGAAGTGGAACAGGCCAATCTGAGGTCTATGCCTATTCTGTTCTCGACATTAACACATGAGCAAATCTGACTGGGGGGTGGGGGGCATGTCTCTTCAGTCTGTACCTATGGGTCCACAAAGTGATGTGAACATATAACTTTGTTTTAGAAAAAATTCTTGCAGGGAAACCATTCCTCGTTCCTTTTGTTTAATACCAGAAGTCTCTTATATTCCCCTTTTTTCACCTGCAGGATCCTGTTTGGGCAGAGACCGTATTGGTGGGTACACGAGACCACTTTCTACCACAACATCTCAGCCCCTACCATCCAGCAGTTCCCAGTTACTTGTGAAACTGGCCCAGGTGAGATTTGAAATATAGGAGCAAGGCTCAGCAAATAAGTTCCACTTTAATGAGTGTGTAGGAATCTAATTTGAAACAATGTGTATACAGTATTTTTTTTACTTGTACAAGCTATGTATTTCAGCTCAGTTATCAGTAGCAGATCATTTGGGGTGGGGGGGAGGGGTCCAAAGAAAAGAGCCTTAAACCTGAAGCTACCTTGTTAACACCAGGTCTTTGTTGGCATATAAGTTCCACTGCCTACTGTGACTGGCAGGCGGTCCCCAAAATTTTGCATGAAGTAATTTCTAGTACAGTGGGCCCCAACCTTGGGCCTCCAGATGTTCTGGGACTACAACTCCCAGAAGCCTTCGCGCCCACCACTGCTGGCCAGGACTTCTGGGAGCTGAAGTTCCAGAACCTCTGGAGGCCCAAGGTTGGGAACTGCTGTTCTAGTGCATATGAGATTTTTCTAAAATGAGATGGGGTCTTCTGCACTAAACACACTGAGTTACATAGCCCTTACTGCCTCAACACTGCACCATCTTGTTAACAAGAGATTGAAGTAATCTAAACCAGTCTCCCCTCATCCACCTCTTCCCTCCAAAATATTTTAGCTTATTTCCCATCCTCCTTCACCATTACCATTATTTGTACTGACTGGTGCTGGTGGAAAGTGTAGTCCAAAAGATGTGGAGGGAATGAGCTTGTAAAAATTTGATCTACGTACATCATTTCTTGAGTTTGAAACAATCCCATATGCCTTATGGTCCTTTGTAATTTTATATGCTAGTCCCTACCAAATCATGACAGTTGCAACCATGTAGTTTTTCACAACTGCATTTCCTCCCCTGATTAAACTAGCAGGATATACTTAAACAACAACAAATATGATAAATATAAAAATAGAACAAAGAGCAGTCAGCAGAATGCTACATGAACCTTTCCCCTTAAACAATCTCAGATTAAAATCCAGGCTAATAATACACACATTTTTCTTAATTCCTGTTTAGCCTCCAGAAACAAAGGTTACTTCCAGATAAATGGCTCTTAGCACCAACAGTCAAAAGATAATTGTGTAATTTTTCTGTTTTCTCCTCCTTCCTGATTTATCTTTAGTAAGAACACAGAAGTTGTGATGGGAAAACACAAAGGGTTACACATTGAAAAGTTTAATAAAAGTCATGTGAAACCCTTCCCCACCCCCCAGTTCCCAAAAGTTCATAAACAAGGCAAGGCAATTGCATAATCAAAGCCCTATCTGGAAGCCCTCAAAGCTATCCCAAAGCAGATGTTTTTCAGCTGTTCTGGAATATAATACTTGGAATTCCAGTTTTAGCAAGCTTCCTAGGTGTTGGAAGGGTTGTGGGTATGCCTATAAAGGCCTGCAGTGATTCAGGCTTTGGCTTCTCTGCTCCTTTATTTATTTAATTACTTATTTCTTTGATTTGTATCCCACCCATCTGGTCTATGCGACCACTCTAGGTGGCTTGCTTCCTTTGGAAACACAGAGAGTTATAGGTGATGCCCATCTAGAGGGCCAGCTCTACCCTTGGGCAAAGAGAGGCAGCTGATTGGGAGTGTCACAAAGGGGCAGAACATGAATAGCTTTTTAATTTATTACTGTATATACTCCACACCATGACTTGGGGATACACTATTTTCTACTTTGCCTCAGTCATCAAAATGTCTTGGGCTGGCTGTCAATTTCCCTCTGGTGATGTATTTTTTGACAAGGCTTGCAGATGGCAAATTGCTTTGAGAGCCAAATTCTATGAACTTTCTTCTAATTCAGGGAGCCCCTCTGGCCATGCAATGGGTGCAGCTGGTGTGTATTATGTGATGGTTACAGCTATCCTTTCCATCATCCTGGGGAAGAAACAGCCATCATGGAAATATCGGTAAGCATCGCCATCTAACAAGAGTTAGTTTTCAAGAACGAAGGGTAGTGATGGCAGATATATTGGGCCTCAGGAAACATTAGTATTGTGATGCAAACTCAGGCTAGTCTTGCTCCAGATGCTTCCATTATTGAAGAGAAATAGGAAGAACCCCAACTTCTAACCCAAATTATGCAGATAAAGACTACACAGAAGGGAAGGAAGGCATGTCCTTCCATTTCTACCTGCAGGACTCAAAAGCTCTCAGAAGGAGAGAGGTAATTTCCAAGCAGCTCATCCTTCTCTCCAGACCAAGGTCTGTGTGTCAAAACAGAAAGATACCAAGAGCAGAACTTGGAAGGATTCCTTTCTTTAGGACTAACATTCCCAGAATCCTGTCAGCAATGCCCTCTTTGGCTATGCTGGCTGCGGGATTGTGGGAGTTGTACACCAGAAAGGAACTTCTCCAACTCTATGTGAACACAGATATTTCCTGGATATGCATTGACACTAAAATTGTCTGCAGCTGCTGCAGAAACAAAGGCAGCTCCCTCAGGTGTGAATAGAGGTAACATCTTCTTCAGTGCAGAGGGACAGCAATGGAACATTCCACACACACCCTCACCTCAGTCAGTGGAAATGTACCTATTATTATCACTCTTAGGATAGCAGACCATGGTTGAAGGATAGCCCTCACAATGTTGTTGGACTGGAACTTCCCTCAGTCCTAGACAACATAGCCAACGGTGAGAAGTGGTGGGAGTCCCTGTCTAACAACTTCAGGAGTACTGTGCTTTTCCCACTCTTGCTTCGGGGTCATGTTTTGGAAAACTTTTCTGAAATAGAAGCTACTTGTGCATGGCTCTCATTGGCTAGCCCCTCACTGCATCACCAGGAAACATCTTTCCCAGTCTAAGGACAAAGTCTGCCTTTGAAAAGAGAAATTTCATTTTCTTTATAATTAATTGGGCTATGAATTAAGAGATGCATTTCTAAGCTTTCCTACTATCAGAGAATGCCTGAAGTAATGAGCAAGTGGCAACACTGAGAGTAGAACCAGGGTTTGATCTCCGGAGACAGGACTCTCCCAGTCTTTACAAAAACATACCACAATCAACTGCACAGAAAAAAAAGGCTGTTCAAATTATTCCAGCTTGAAAAAAAATACAAGCCCTCCAGTGGTGGTGTTGGTGGGGAGGAGCCAGTTTGGGAGCAAAAAGAGCCAGACCAATTTGAATCAGCCTTTACGTCATGTGCTCAGTTACAATACTTTGAGTTTCCCTATTTTATAAGCAGAGCAAATCCCACGGTGTTTGACTGTGTATTTGCAGCCTTCATCTGCAACTCAGCAAAGTGTTGAGAGTTCTCCTTTCATATAACATGCAGATCTCACCAAATGCAAACTAGACAGTAATCCGCTCTAGTTTTCCAGAGCCCACAGCGCAAAGCTCCCTGACACTAGGCAGCAGAGAATGAAATGAGTTCTTAAACTCACAAGTGCCTTTAGGAGACAAAAAAAAGGTTACCATCTGGCTTGATGGTGTGTCCATACCTTCTGTTTTGTGGTGTCTCCTTTTGCAGCTTCTTGCAGGCGGTGCTGTGGACCACTTTCTGGGCCATCCAAATCTGTGTCTGTCTGTCTCGTGTCTTCATCGCTGCCCATTTTCCCCACCAAGTGATTGCTGGTGTTTTCTCAGGTGAGTGGAATCCCTTTGCTCCTTACACCTAAATTGTTATAGGATGCTTACATAGATGTTTTGTAAAGCTGTATCTGCACAACAGTATCTAGTATCTGCTGGCAAGCATCATATTGTTGCATGGCTTCCAGTGAACAAAACTAGAGCAGGCCCCTGAGTAAAGTCCTGGGAAGCTGTAAGATGCCTATAGAGTCCTGCTCTGCATCTCTTCTAGGGCTTCTAGATCTCAACTTTTTATATCTCAAATCTCCCCACTTGCTCTGTCAAAGGACCGGGATCCCACCATGACTGAGGGTGGGGGGAATGTCTGCTCTTTCTAAGAAGGACACCCATATACAGTGATGCCTCGCAAGACAAATTTAGTTCGTTCCGCTGTTAATGTTGTCTTGCGAAAAATTCGTCTTGCGAAACGCGTTTTCCCATAGGAATGCATTGAAATCTAATTAATGCGTTCCTATGGGCAAAAAAGTCAGAACAAAGTCAAATTTGGTTTACAAAGGGTTTATTAAGTGCTCTTTAAAGCCGTACATATTGTGCAGATGATTTCAAAAATTTCAATCAAAACACTTTAACTTTTAAAACATCATAGAAAAATATTTAAAAATCAGCAAACATGAGGCAGGAACAAAAAACAGAATACATTCATCTTGAGAAGCACAGCCCCATTACCACAGCCACAGGAACATTAGTCTTGCGAATCATCAACCCCATTACCAAAACCATTCGTCTTGCGAGTTTTTTTGTCCTGCGAGGCATTTGTCTTGCAAGGCACCACTGTATTTACAGACAGTTTATTACCCTATTTAACAGCCAGCATGTCAACTAGCCATGTTTATTGTGGGATTCTGGGAGCTGTAGTTTTAAAAAGGCAACATTTTCAAGGAAAGACTACATTATTGGAATGGATTGCAAACTGTGTTGCTCAGCTGATAACCTGAATGCACTTACGTGCTGTTCTCTTCTTAATCCAGGCATATTGGTGGCTGAGTTGTTCCAGCGCATACACTCCATCTATGATGCCAGCCTACGGAGGTATTTGGGCACCACCCTTTTCCTCTTCTCCTTTGCCCTGGGCTTCTACCTGCTCCTCAAAGTGCTGGGTGTAGACCTCCTGTGGACTTTGGAAAAGGCCAAGAGGTGGTGTGACAATCCAGAATGGGTCCACCTGGACACCACACCTTTTGCTGGTCTATTGCGCAATTTGGGTGTGCTCTTTGGGCTTGGCCTGGCCCTCAACTCCCCAATGTACATGGAAAGCTGCAAAGGAAAGCAAGGGCAGCAGAGGACCTTCCGGCTGGGCTGCATTGTTGCTTCACTTCTCATCCTGCACCTCTTTGACTCTTTCAAGCCTCCAGCCAAGGTGGAGCTGCTCTTCTACCTGCTCTCCTTTTGCAAGAGCGCTGCTGTGCCCTTGGCAGCAGTTGCCCTCATCCCCTACTGTGTCTTCCAGCTGCTCAGTCAGCAGGACAAAAAAATCGTATAGCTGTTGGGACTGAGTTGTTTATGGAACTGATGGAAGGAAAGAGATACAAGGAGGCGGAAACGCAGGGGCCAAAGGACATTGTTTATAATGATCCTCTTATCTTGCTATTCTGGGCTGGCTGAGCTTTGTGGGCCCCTGCTGGATTCAGGGAGAAGTTGACCCATATAGCCCCAAAATAACAAACCATGCTCCCCACTGTTATTCTCCATCCAGCAATGCCAATAAGACATGAATCTGCTGGTGCTTATTTGAGAAAATAGAGATGGATGCCAGCACTGTTCTCCACCATTAGGAAGCTCAATGATCAACCTGTCACTCTCCGCTATGCTCACAGGATTCTCTGTCTGAAAGTATTCTTCCATGTATCCTGTTGGTGGTATAGCTAGGATTAACCTTTGCACCAAATGTCTGGACCCCCATGGCCCGTGGTGTCACCATGTGACCACTGAGACAGTGGCATACGATGGGGGACCTGAGCTAGCAAAGTCATACTAAGTCTACTGGAACTGACATTGGTTATTGTCCCATCCTTTTTTATTGGGTTTGGGTTTTTTTATTTTGAAAAAAAAGCATTTTATAGTTGAGAAGTAGCCAGAAGGTATTTTACAGTATTACTGATGCTAATTTTTCTTATTTTCAATCTAAAATTCATATTTTTAATTGTTTTCTACTAACAAAATGGTGCTTATTGCCAAGTAAACATGCTAAGAAATAGAACAGCCGAAGCTGTTTCAATCCAGTCATCATGATGGTGCTATACTGTAAGTTTCAAATGCAAATCAGATGCGCACAGAGTATTTTTTTTTCATCCTTACCAAAAAAAACAAAAACAAAACAGAATTGGCAATCACTTTTTTCTCCTAACATACTGGGAATGCATAAACAGTTGTAAAGCATGGAATGGAAATATAGTGGAGAATGGATATGCTAATTTGGGGCTTTACAACTGAAGTACTACCTGGGCTGGTGAGGAGGAATCATAAAATTGTCAGATTCATGATCTATAATTTTTGTACTAGAAGTGGCAATGAAAGGTAAGGAAAAGGAAGCTACTTATCTGATACAAGTGCATCCATGATAGCCACCACCACTATTTACCCTCAGTGGAGCATCTTTGAAATGCAACTGACCTACGAGTAAAGTCAAATAACTGCTCCAGCTTCTGTTATGGAGATTTGTCATCATATATTTTTAGACAGGAAAGATGTAACTTGGATAAATCCACTTCAGGTCAGTTGCAACGTAGATTTTCAAAGTTGTATGTCATTTTTTTTACATTTGTTCCTAGATCATTTTATTATTATGAATAAATCATAACACCTGTTTCATTACAAATAAATAACAAGTTGTTACACTTTTGAAACCATTTAGTTAGCATGCTAAATGCTGTGTTTAAAAGAATGCTGTGTTTAATATTTACTGCATCATGGTAGGGACAGTAAATCATCCAGTAAAGCAAATATTATTTTTCCAATTGCGGAGATTTTTCCTGTGTCTTTGACACCATACCCTTGAGTGGAATCCTTTTTTCTAGGGTAAAAAAAAACAAGCATATTGAAGCTGCACAGGAGAAGTAAAGCACATCCTGTATATTTGTATGTCAGGTAAAGAGAATCAACTATAACTCTGTTGCAAAATGAATGACTTACATTGTTTTAAGTTCAGTTTCACAAGGACATCAGAGAACAAGACTGGTCAAAATACACATAACCTTAGATGACCACCAAGAATCAGATCATACATTCTTTCTTTCTTTATTAATATCAGAGTGTTGCACAATTTAAAATTATGGATGTACTACAGTATATGTGAAATATAGGTAAAGTTAAAAACAAATTAAAACGTTAAGATAATTAGACTATTTTTAATTGGAAGAGGACTACTTCAATAGCGTAGTCTTGGCTATTTGCTAGATGTTCTTTTGTACATGTGGTGGGGCATAAATTGCATACATATAAGTGCTGCATTGATTGAACTTCTCCACAGTCACAGAAAATCTGCCCTGTATCCAAGTATCTCCATTTTACTCGTTTACTCCTTAATCTTCCTACTTTGCTTTGGAGTCTATCCAGTGACTTCCAAGTGGCCCAGCTAGAGTCTTGTCCTGGTGGGAGACACTCTTCAGCATTCATCCACTCTTCAAAGTGTATTACTTTTGTTTTCCACAGATTTAGCCTAGCTTCTTCTGGTTTGATATTTAGAGCTTGAGATGTGTACACAAAACTCTTCCTTATTTTTAGCCGTCATCTAGGGATTTGGTGTCCATAAAGTGGCTGGGTTTGTTGCTGCATTACCTTATTTCATTCATTATTTGCTAGCACCTCTCAGCATACTTCTGGAGGAGCACTAATGAACAAAATGCATATTTCACTCCCTTTTACAGCATTACTTCACTATGCGCTTATATAGAAATCTGAAACAATTTTAAGCATCATGGCTCCGCCATAGATTCCAGGGATTTATAGTTTGGTGAGGTGCCTAAATTTCTTTGCTGCAGGTCTGGACGGTGTACAAGTGCTCTCTAACCAGAGAAATCCAAGTACTTTATGAAATCAAAATCTCAAGTTTCCCTAGGATAAAGCCATGGCCAGTAGAGTGGTATCAAACTCCTATAAGTGTGTAGTGTGGATACACTTGCAGCTTCATGGTGTGGAAGCTTCTATGGAGAAAGCAGGGATCATCACCTCCTCAGAGCCGCTAATCCTCTCCATCACCCACAACAAAGACATTGTATAGGTGCACAAACGGTAGGTGCTGAGAGGAGTGCATCCCATGGTCACTGCTAGTCACAGGAGTAAAAATAAACAAATGTGAAAATGAGAGAGAGAGAGACGGCTGTCACAACTGCAAGCCACCACCAAACAATAACAGCAAAACACTTCCCCTTCCCAGAAAATTAGGGCCCTGCCCACCCTTCCCATCATCTGAGTTTTGCTCAGAGACCTAATCAGGGAGAGGGTCTCCCTAACTCAATGCCTATTGCTGTGAAGGGGGTGAAGCAAATCTAAATTCAAGCTCATGGTTCAGGACGTTAATGCGAGCTTATTTCTTTGTGCTTTGTAAACTGTTTTAAGATTTTGTGGAGTCAATCAGGAGCAGCATAGAACAGTAGAAGCAATTATGGTTACCAGGTTTTAGGTCACCAACTGACGTTCCAGGGAATTGTTATACCTGAATCTCCAGGTGGTGGTATGTGGGATGCATGCCCTAAAATGAGTCCTGCAGCTGCTGCATATATTTTGCCATCTCTCTGACCATCAGGAGATAGATTTCCCCCAGTTCTGAGTTGCCACATTATCTAATTGGCCAGGTTTTACTCACATTATGGAGCCATTTACCTGGATTCCTCTCACACCTTTTTCCATAAGGGTCTGACTCTGAAGCAGTTCTGTCTCAATTCCCAACTCTGCCTGCCTTATTTCTGTGACATCACAAGCACCTATTCCTGGTTTAAGGTTTCAGCCCTAAAATCTCAGGAGGTGGGATGTCAGTTATCTGGAAGTCATAGCTGCAGTATTCCAAAGAGAGAATTGGGACTCCACAGAGGGAGGAAAACAAGACATGATAATTTAATTATCTAGAACAAAGGTGAATTTTTTTATGGAGAAACTATTTCTTTGGGTATAATCTGGTCAAAATCAAGACTGAGCCAAAAGGATATAAGCTGGCACACCCTTCTCTTCCCTTTTGTTTCTTCCTCCCCGAATCCAGCCACCTTGTTCTTGCAGAAGTGAGATGATTATTACAGAGAGTTTTTGAAACTGGGTCAAGGGCTGCACAAGACCTTAGGGCTTTAGCTTTCCTGGTCCTCTTCAACAAATGGCATCAAAACAACTTTTCCCCCCACTCAGCTGAAGTAGAAGCTAAAAGCCACTTGTAGAAAACAAGGTAGAAATCCAGAAATTTAACATATCCATAGTTGCTGCTTGCAGAATACCTACACAGAACAAATGGGAGCAGCAAAGACAGTCTGTGCTCTTTCCACCTCAGATTTTATATGTCATACAAAATGTGACTTATTTTTACTTTTTAAACATTTAAAAACTGTCTTGCCGATGCTCCTCTTAAATCATAAGCTGAGGAAAAGGGATGCTGTGCTTTAGAATGTGTGTTAGATAGACTTGTGACGGTATACAGTATTGTACTGTAAGTACTTCAGGTTTTAGATTGTGTTGAAGCTGGTTTGTATTTCTAGTCCAAAGTTCTCATATTAAAAGCTCATTAAAGGGCAGTCGACTCTCATTCTGCCTCTCTTCCAGCTCAAATTCAGCTTAACCTAAGTTGAAAATGCATTGCTCAGCCAATGTAGAAGTCTTGTTCTATATTACGTGATTAAAGATATGCTGCTCTTTAAAAAATTGAACAAAACCCCAAAATATTTTATATAAAGCAAGACTTGTAAAATAGCATGAAAGCCTTAATTTGTTGCTACCTTTTGAGGGCAATGGAGTGGGGAATTATTCTTCCCAATTATAGCTAAAAGCCAGGCTTTGTCTGTTTATGTTCCAAGGATAACTGTACCTGTTATCCGAGGGGAGATTTAGAAAAAGCAGCAGCAGCAAGCAGGGGAATACCATAAGACTCTGGAAGGAATTCCCAGAAATCAGAATCAACTTGTCATTTTGGTGCAGTCAATACATACTGTCCTGCCAGGTTTTTGCTATACAACACAGAACAGAGACTAGAGATGCCACCTTTTGGGGACTACAAGTTCCAGAATGCCTGACCAATCATGCTAGAGTCTTTAAAAAGTAGCATTTAAAGAAATTAAAGCAGATTATAAAATGAACTGGAAGAAACTGGAAGCCACCAATGCTTCTGTTTCTTGTCACAGTCAGTGATTTGAGGGGGACAGCTGGAACAAGAGCTATGTTATTTTTTTTTTTTTACTGACCTCCACTATCTAACATAGATTGGGTTTGCACAAGTCTTCAGCTGGTTAAATCTATTCAAATATGGCCACTGAACTCAGTCCTTTCTTTCCTGGAAAGAACCACATGCTCCTAAAGCATTCTATTTGTTCAGGCTGGACTCTAATTTTGCTGCAAATCTTTGCTGCAGGGAGTGGGGTAGGGGGAGACTGGGAGTCTACAGTCCCTGACCATCCTTCATCCTATTCCCTGAAGCTGTTATGTTTCATGGGAGACAGCCTCCGAGTACAGCCAGTGGAAGATACTCTTCCAAACATAATATTTGTTGAATGGGCAAGGAATGGGCTTGCAGCTGGAAAAGGGTGAGTTAATGTTAATGTGACAATGACGTTGAAACTGGCTCCCAAGTGAAGTTAACAGGAGGCATTTTTTTTCAAGCCAAGCTGCTATGTATGAGAAAGGGGGGAGGAGCTTGGAAAGTTACTTTTTTGGACTACAAAATGCAAATTTTCCATATGCAGTCCTCCGAAGCTCTCCCATGAGGAATACATTCCTTATTTGTAAAAATGCTTGGAAAGTTACTTTTTTTGGACTACAAAATGCAAATTTCCCATATGCAGTTCTCCAAAGCTCTCCCATGAGAGATACATTCCCTATTTGCAAAAAGGATTCTCTAGCATTTCTGGGGATGCAGCTTCAGCAAGCAGATAGTGATCTGACCCCCCCATGTCGCCTGATCGTAGAAGACAAAGAGCAGAGGTTTGAAGCTACCCTCCTATGTGTGTAGTGAATTGTGTGTGCATACACACATTAGCTTGCCTATATGACCCTAGTACGCAATCGGAATTGCATATAACTCTTGGGGCAAAAAATGTTCCCCACCCTTTGCCTTAAGGTATATAGAGCATCACTTGGCTTAGGGCCTCAATTAAATTCTCTTCAGCCCTGCAGGGAGAAAAAAACTACAATTGGCACAATTCAGATGTGACTTAAGATGCATGTTTTTGTTACACAAATAGCGCTAGGAAAGCCCAAGCAGCTTCGGGATCAGATAGGTGGGAATCGGGAGTTTCATTCCTTCTCTGTTATGTTTTCCTCCCAGCAAAAATCTCCTCCCAGGAGCTGCATTAGAAGATGGGAACTGGGCAGAAGTTCGTTTCTTTCTCCCCTTGATATTTTGATCTGGATCAAAATATCCCATCTGAAGCCCAAACTAGATGTTACATGTAACTCATTGGAAGAGGGAATTCTGTAAATGCTGAAAATATCTGATTGTCACACTAGGAGCATTTCACACTTCATCCTCCCTCCATTTTTCTGATTGCACTTTCTTTGTTTTGTGATATTGGTCATCAGGAAGTAAGAAGTGGGCTTTGCTTGCAAGTATGGTTGCTTACTCATGAAGATCTCCTTGAATGACGTCTTTGGAATGCTAACAGATTTCAGTTTCTGATGATGGGCTATCTGTATTATATAGTTTAGCACCGAGGCAGCATTTTTTTTTTTTTTGAGCTGGATGTGGCTGATTGTACGAGGTTCAAGGCTAAAGGTCGTCTTCCTCTGCTATGCAGAACACTCTATTCTCCCCCTTGGAGCGTACAGGTGAACAGGCAGGAAGCCAGGAGAGCTCAAACTCTTCTCCCCACCCTCCTGAACTTATGTCTTTTCTCTTCTTCCTCCCTCCACCTTTCCCAGGAAGGTTAACTTTGACCCCAGATTATCTGTACTACTATCATTGTGTGGTTTCCTCCACTGGCTATTGAGCTGTTCTTCTGTACCTAGGACTGTCAAGACGCAAGCTACTCAAAGATCTACTGCCACTTCTGCCTGAACAATCACTTTGAGGAGAAAGTCACTGGTATTTGATTGGAACGTGATGCTACAAATTTTACTGAGGCCAGAGAGGTGTCCAATGCATCATTTAGTCAGGTTCTGGAGGATCCATTTCAGTTGTTGTGGATAAGATGCTTGAATCAGTCTGTCCCATCCTGTGTATTCTTGGCCCTTGCACATCATGGTTGATAAGCTCTTTTAGGGGTGGATTGACTTAATTGGTCCAGGAGGCAGTAAGTGCCTCATTATGGCAGGGGATTGTGTCTTCTGCCTTTAAAAAGGCTGTGATGCATCCTTTCATGAAGAGGACCTCTTCAGACTGAGAGGCATATAACAACTACCACCTCATTGCAAATATCCCCGTTTTGGACAAAGTGCTTGAGCGTGTGGTGGTTGAGCAGCTTCAAGTGTTCTTGGGGGAAACTGATTATCTGGACTCATTTCAGTCTGATTTCAAGCTAAGATTCGGTACCAAAAATGGCCTTAGTTGTCCTGAATGATGACCTGCTTGGGATAAAGACAGGGGGAGTGTCCCAGCATTGATTCTCCCAGTGCTCCCAGTGCTCCCACCAGCTTTAGATGCCTCTTGGACAAGTTCCATGGAATGGAAGTGGGAGGCACTGCCTTACAGTGGTTCTATTCCTATCTTTGGTACTGGTTCCAAAGTAGCATTGGTGGGATTTCTGCTCAGCCCTGTAGCAATTAAGCTGTGGGATACTGTAAAGTTCCGTTCTATCTCCCATGTTTTTTAATATCTGTATGAAACTGCTGGGAGAGGTCATTTAGAAGTTTTGAGATTGAATGCCATCAATATGCTGATGACAATTAGCTCTGCTTCTCCTTATCATCAGGGTCAGCTGAAGCTATAAAGGTGCTGAACCAATGTCTGGAGCCTATAGTAGGCTGAATGATGGCCAATGAATTAAACAAGATGCAAGCTCTGTGGTTCAGTGGTTCCCAGATCCAGGAAAAGGACAAGAGACTGGTTCTGGATGGAACTGAACTTCCTCTGAAGGAGCAGGTATGTAGTTTGAGGGGTGTTCCTGGATTGTAATTGGAGGCTCATGTGAACTCTGTGGCTTGCGATGGAACTGAACTTCCTCTGAAGGAGCAGATATGTAGTTTGAGGGGTGTTCCTAGATTGTAATTTGAGGCTCATGTGAACTCAGTGGCTTGGAGTAGCTGGGGTCAGCTTCAGCTGGACCACCAGCTATGATCATTCCTGGACAGAGATAACGTGGCCATAATAGTCCATGCCCTGGTAACTTTCTGGTTAGACTACTACAATGCACACTTCATGGGGTTACTCTTGAAGATGCCATGGTGCTGCAGCAAGTGCAATTTGCAGCAGCTAGACTGCTAAGAAGAACATCTTTCAGAACCCACATGACATCAGATCTGAAGGATTTGCATTGGATGCCAGGGTGCTTCCAGTCTGAGGTCAAGGTGTTGAGGATGACGTATAAAGCTCTAAAATACTTGAGACCTGGCTATTTGAAGGAGCATCTCACCCTGTCTAAATCTGTCTGATCTCTAAGATCTCCTATGGAAGTTCTCCTCTGTGTCCCACCGTTGAGAACAGTTTATTATGTGGAGACATTGGGGGGGGGGAGGCTTTTTCTGCTATAGCACTCCAACTGTGGAACACCCTCCCCTTAGATATTCGTTGGCATCATTTTGGCACCGAGGTAAGACATATTTGTTTATTAGAGTCTTTGGAAGTTGAGGATTGTAGCCTGTTAAGGTTTTAATGCAATATTTTAATATTTGAGTGTTTAAATTTTGTGTTGTTTGATTATAACTTGTTTAAATATCTTATGTTTTAAATTGTTTTATATGGTTTTGGGAACTGCCCTGGGGTCATCTCATATAGAGCAGACTATAAATGTTTAGATAAATAAACAAACAAACAAACAGTATTTCATCAGCAGTTCCCCCAATGCCCCTTGCTTTCCTCCTTTGAGATGATTTTTTCCATGGCTATATTAAGAATTCACTTTTATCATGCAATTTGGGAAGATGTACCTTGGACCCTGTTCATGCTGCTGCTGTGTGCCTGTCCATAATGCATTTCCATAACTTCATTTATGTAACATCGTGCCCTTTGAGTCCCAACTAAATAATTACCCTGCAAAGATTACCTATCACTCTGTATTTCTCAGTTTCTGGCTTAAGAAAATGTTCTGTGGCACGAGAGATATAACTAGATATGTTTAGTATGTGTTTTTCTTTAAAAAAAAAAAACAAAACAAAGACAGGAATTCTGCACCAAATGAACTTCTGGGAGACATGAAGCTGTATTTACATAGCAACCTACATAAGATATGCTTTTTTATGCATGTTTAGCATAGTTCATTCTACTTTACGTTGCTCTCACTCTTAATTGCCTTTGCCAACCTTGTTACAGTGATCAATCTGACCAGCTGAGATGGAAGGCAGAAGGACAAGGGAAGAACAAAAATGACATTTAAGCAATTGCCCAGAAGGGCAAGGAATGTTGTTGTTTAGTCATCAAGTTGTGTCCGACTCTTCATGACCCCATGGACCAGAGCACGCCAGGCCCTCCTGTCTTTCACTGCCTCCTGGAGTTGGGTCAAATTCATGTTGGTTGCTTTGATGACACTGTCCATCCATCTCGTCCTCTGTCGTCCCCTTCTCCTCTTGCCCTCATACTTTCCCAACATCAGGGTCCTTTCCAGGGAGCCTTCTCTTTTCATGAGATGGCCAAAGTATTGGAGCTTCGGCTTCAGGATCTGCCCTTCCAGTGAGCACTCAGGGCAAGGACTAGCATCAAACAAACACAAAAAGTAAGTTTTTAGCATCTTCTGGAGAATGTTTCAACTGCTTGGTGCACTTTTGTGTAAAAAAAAAATGCCCATCCAAAATGCACGACACAGTATCACCTTCTTGGATTACAAATCCCAGCATTCCCTGACAGCATGCTTAGGGAGTTCTGGGAGTTGTAGTACAAAAAGCATTCCTCCTCCTCCCTCCCCACAACTCTGCTTGTACCCATGCATTGAATTTCATGACGGTAATTCAGACTGACTTTGGGTTATATTCTCCCCCTCTTCTCCCACCGTGAAGAGATTCTTACCTTTAGCTGTTACAGGTTTTTTTCCCCCAAAGACTCCTGGAAACTGTAGTTCAATGAGAATGCTAAGATTCTGAGAAGGGCCTACGAAGAACGGATGCTTATGTGGTGGGGGCGGGGAGGGGAGAAGGTTTGGCACTGAAAATAGTTTTCTGTGAGTGATACAGATGTGCCTCCTGAAACAAGAGGTATCGACTTGTGCAAACAAATATACTTTGCTTCATGTAGCAGCCTCTGTCAATATTTTTTTGGGTACGGGAGGCAGGAAAGGATCAAAGATCAGGGAGTGTGGATGTGATAAAGGTTCAGTGGCTGGGAAAGCACACAGGAGCCAAGTTGAGAGAAGACAGTCCCTGCTAAAGTCGCGCACCATGGACCTTTTGCATAGTGCAGGGGTGCAGGCCACCAGCTACCTCCAAGAGAACTTCCTCGACTTCCAGGAGTGGTTTATCTTCATCTCCACAGTCGCTGACCTCAGAACAACTTTTTTTGTCTTCTTCCCCATCTGGTTCCAGCTAAGGGAAGCTGTGGCAATCCGGCTCATCTGGGTAGCTGTGATCGGTGATTGGCTCAACCTTGTTTTCAAGTGGTGAGCATGGATTCTGGGAATCCCTGATCATCATATTGGGGTCAGGAAGACACTCTCCTCTCAGTTATGTTGCCTATAGATTCATGTGGTTCCCCGCCCTCCAACCCTTTCCTGTAGACAATTTATTTAATTTGACCTGAGGCAATTTTCAAGCCACAGAACATGCAGAGTAGTTTATAGGGTTGATCAAGACATAATCCCAAACCATGGATTTCTATAAGAACAATTTTGGAAAGAACCTTAGACACCTGTGCTCCAGGTTATGATCCTTTGGTTTATTTGGTTTGATAGAGAAAACACAAACCATAATTTGCCTGGATGGATGCCATGGGAAACTGTGGTTTACTATAAACCAAGAGGAAACTAAGGAGCTATGAGGGGGAAGCATACTTCTAAGCCTGTTCTTGTAGTACATTGTACATTAACCACAATATAAAATATGTTCTTGAATGTGAATGATTTCCCCCCCACTTCTGACTAAACAAAGCTATTCTCGTGGGGTAAATCTTTCAAGTGTGGATGTGTTCAGCATCATTATCAGGTTTCTTAAAACTAAATTAAAAAGCTAGCAAGCAATTGTTGGTTCATTTGTTTAAGTAATCCAAAACAATCTGTTCTGTCCGTACCCTTCCAAAGTGTTTATGTGTTCAAACAATGTCCCACAACACTTCAGGCATCATTCATGAGGTTATCTAGGGAGAAACTAGTTCTAGTTTTGTAGCAGTGAATAAAAGACTAAGAGTGTAACCACGGAATTAATAAGATCCACTTGCTTCTCAACAGAGATCTTACGCCCAGATATGCAGAGAATTGGACGTAAAAGCTTTAATTCCGTGCACACTTAGCTGGAGTAAATCTTATTTAATGAAGTGAGTCTTCTGAGTTATCATGCGTAGGGTGATGCAGTAACTATCTCTGGCCCCTTCTGGCCCTAGAGGAGTCCATGAATCTTTCACTTCTAGATTTCTACCTTTCAGAATAAAATATGTTAAATGAAAGAATTCCAAGAGCGTGAATGGGGTAAAAGTGCTTGTTTGACTGCAACTCCCATCAGCTGTCACCAGCAGAGCCAAAGGTGAGGGATGATGGGAGTTAGTTGCAGTCCAACGGCATCTGGCAGCTTACACTTTTTCCACCACAGTGCGGCGGGGGAGACATGGCTGGGAATTAAAAAGATTCTGAATCTAACATACTCACCCTGGTCTATTCCTGCTTCTTTAGCAATGGAAATAGTTCTGAAGTCTGATATAACCTTGGGAAACACGAGGATTAGAACCTTGGAATTATTTATTTATTTAAAGATTGTTTCACAGATACGTCTGGAATTAGCAATGATTTTCTTGTGTCATGCCCTCTTGACTCTTTCCCAGTTGTTGGGATCTCAGCCTCTACGCCTTTTTTCTTACTTCTTTATAGGATCCTTTTTGGAGAGAGACCCTACTGGTGGGTACATGAAACAGACTTCTATGGCACCTCAACACTCCCTGTGATCAAGCAATTTCCCATCACATGTGAGACTGGCCCAGGTGAGGTTACAACAAACTTTCCCAACCATCCTGGTGCCTTAAGTCACTGTAGCCCCTTCCCCCTTCTTTCCCTCAACTCTTACATTTCTCCCTTCCAGGTAGCCCTTCCGGTCATGCCATGGGGTCTTCTGGAGTCTACTACATCATGGTGACTGCATTGGTATCACACTTTTTGCCACTGCAGCAGAAAACCTTGACTGCTAGGTAAGATCTTACCCCCACCCTGAGTGTGACAGCTGAAAATAATGGTTAGCAACTCCCAGAATCACCTGACCAATATGGCCACCATGTAAGCCAGTGTGTACCTCACGAGAACAGTTTAAAATATAACCTTTCCATCCTCCGGCTAGGGTCGTACTTTTAGGAGTAGTTATGGTTATGAGTCTTCACGTTGATTCTGCCTTGCCCTTTCCAGGGCCTTCTAAGTTTGAAGTTCTCAGAACTGGTGTACCAGCCTCTCCTTCTGGTGACATTCTAGGACCACTCAACTTGCCAGGATAGCATAACCTGTCAGATTCTCCCAGGAGGCACATCGGGAAATCAAACTCCAGACCCAGCAGCAACCCACTGAACTATCCAGCCAGGCCTCCTCTTTGAAGGGATGGTACAACTCACAATTCCTACCTTCCTTTTAGAAAATGTCAAAATATTACAGGAGAGAATAAAACTCTTCTCAGAGAACCAATTTCATGGTACAATCACTCTCCCATTTTCACCTAATTTTTATCTGAATGCTACCCCTGACAATCTTAACATTTAAGACGATGGCCTTGAACACAACACATCCTAAAGAGGAGAGAGAGAGAGAGAGAGAGAGAGAGAGAGAGAGAGAGAGAGAGTGTGTGTGTTTCAAAGGAAAACTATACAGTTGACTCTTAAAATCTAAGTTTTTTAACATTTGTAAAATCAGCTTTTCTAATTCTAATTTTAAGCTTCCCCCAAACTTCATATTTATACGGAATATGATCCGGCCACTACATGTCTCCAGACCTCAACTTGCTGGTATTCATGTTCAGTTCACTTTTGGAATCTTTAGAAAGAGCACATTTGGGCGAATCCTTCTGAAACTATCACCGGATCGAATTGCTGGAATTAGCACTCGATGGGTGCTGCTATGGTCCTGCTAAAGAGCCGAGATAGTTGGCTCTCTCTGTCTAGTAAAGTCCTCTCTTCCTCAGAGATGAGGAAGATCTTCCCTGGCCTGGGCAACTTGACTTTTTAGGTAAAAGATGTGCAACATGCAATTTGCAGACCAGCCCACTCCCATTCTGTGCAATCCCTGAGCACAGCTAGAAGCTATATTTTTGGAGCATAACTCCCAGAGTGCCCTAGAATCCAAGAGGCAGATGAGGGGAGATATAGACCTAAAGGAATTTTTTCCAAACTCTGCACTCAGGGCTCCAAATGGTCCTGGAGAATATGGATTTTGCAGTCAAAATCCGATGGCATGATGATGAGAAAAGTGGCCTTTTCCCACTTGGAAGTGCTGTTTCATTTGAACAAGGTACTGTACATGTTCCCTTGTCTGCTTTGTTCAGAAACTGATTTAAACTTCTGGGAGGCTTTAAATTATGGTTAGTGTTGAGTTGAAGAACTTCTGGCTTGGCACTGGTTTGATGAACTCCTCACTCCTAGGTGTCTGCGTGGCCTCCTCTGGACTGGTTTCTGGGTTGTGCAGGTCTGTGTCTGCTTATCCCGAGTCTTCCTAGCTGCCCACTTCCCACATCAAGTGATTGCAGGCGTCATCTCAGGTGAGTGATTCACAGAAATTATGGTTAGTGTTGAGTTGAAGAACTTCTGGCTTGGCACTGGTTTGATGAACTCCTCACTCCTAGGTGTCTGCGTGGCCTCCTCTGGACTGGTTTCTGGGTTGTGCAGGTCTGTGTCTGCTTATCCCGAGTCTTCCTAGCTGCCCACTTCCCACATCAAGTGATTGCAGGCGTCATCTCAGGTGAGTGATTCACAGACTTCGGTAAAGGTTCCCCTTGACATTTAGTCCAGTCGTGCCCAACTCTAGGGTGCGGTGCTCATCCCTGTTTCCACGCCATAGAGCCAGCAGTTGTCCGAAGAGTTTCCGTGGCCACGTGGCCAGTGCGACTAGACACGGAATGTCATAGGCTTACACAGGCTTAATAATATAATCACCATCATATGCCATCAAGTCAATTCTGATTGATGGTTATCTTTTTCAGGGTTTTCCAGGTAGAGATGTGAAGGGTTAGAAGGTAGAAGTGAGCCGTCCGCAGAAATCAAAATAAAAGACAATAACAACGGAAAGAAACAACAGGCTAACAGTGAAAGTGGCGAAGAAGAGAAAAAAGAGTTAACAGAAGGAGAGGGGGAGGGGAAGATAGAGGTATGCTTGGTCGAGGGGGAGTGGGAGGAGTCAGAAGTGACAGTTGGAGAGAAATATAAAGATGAGGAGGGGGTTGTGTGGTTTAGTTCCGTGTTAAAAGTGTATGAGGAGAGGAAAAGAGAGGAAAGACGGAGAGCATTCGAGAAAGTCAGATTTCAGGGATTAGTGAAGGACTTTCCGAATCTGAAGGTGGGCGGTTTATTGCCTAACCCTCCTGATCCTCAAGGGACACCCCAAAGAATAATGGTCCGAGAGTGGGACATGATTGTGCCCCCAAGGGAGATCGAACTAATATGGGCTTGGGAGACTCCTCACAGCGCAGATTGTTCCACAGCACCGATGACGGATCCATCCTCCCGCAACCGGACCCTCAGACAGTGATGCTAATGTGCTCTCCCTAGCCCGTATTAGTTCGATCTCCCTTGGGGCCACAATCACGTTCCACTCTCGGACCACTGGTTTGACGAACTCCTCACTCCTAGGTGTCTGCGTGGCCTCCTCTGGACTGGATTCTGGGTTGTGCAGGTCTGTGTCTGCTTATCCCGAGTCTTCCTAGCTGCCCACTTCCCACATCAGGTGATTGCAGGCATCATCTCAGGTGAGTGATTCACAGACTTCAGTAAAGGTTCCCCATGCCATTTAGTCCAGTCGTGCCCAACTCTAGGGCGCGGTGCTCATCTGTTTCCAAGCCACAGAGCCAGCAGTTGTCCGAAGACAGTTTCCGTGGTCACGTGGCCACCACGACTAGACACGGAACGTCATAGGCTTACACAGGCTTAATAATATAATCACCATCATATGCTGACAAGTCAATTCTGATTGTTCTGCGGACGGCTCACTTCTACCTTCTAACCCTTCACAAGAGAATACTCGGAAATGGTTTATCATTCCTACATGGTGGCAATTCTGTACACAGCATAACAGACTGTATATTCAGTAGGAATAGATATATAATAGCAAGGGAGGCACACCAGTTACGTTAGGCTACTTTCAGATGGGGCATTTGTTCCTCCAGTAACTAGTATTTACCACCTCCTCCATTTCAGACATTGAACATAATTAATGCTAAGTTTCTCTGATGGTGCACCCCTTGGAGCAGGAGTTGAAAAGATATTCCAACGTTATTTTTAGCTAGCCAACCTGTCATTTGCTTGTTCTTGCCTGTTTTCTCCTGAAGATGCTAATCAAAGTTGTCAGTCCCCAATCTTTTCTCCTTGACTTGTATTTACCACCTCCTCCATTTCAGACATTGAACATAATTAATGCTAAGTTTCTCTGATGGTGCACCCCTTGGAGCAGGAGTTGAAAAGATATTCCAACGTTATTTTTAGCTAGCCAACCTGTCATTTGCTTGTTCTTGCCTGTTTTCTCCTGAAGATGCTAATCAAAGTTGTCAGTCCCCAATCTTTTCTCCTTGACTTTGCAGTCCACTGTAAACCCCCCCCCCCCCCTTTAAAACTTGTAAAAAAAGAACAAAGATCACCCCCCCCCCCCCGTTTCAGACTTGGAAGAGAAGCACAATGATCTGGAACAATGCAAACAACAAACCCCAAGGTGGTGGGGAGGGACAAAAAAGTCCAGAAAATGAACCCCAGTCTTGTTAGTTCCAAAACCTTCCAGGATAAGGGGCAACAATATCTGGATGGCAATAAAAATTAATAATAATAAACACCTGGGAAATTCAGAGACCAAGCATATATGTACATTTTGGGGAACAAATGGCCTGTCTAAAAGATCCTTTATAGACATACTTATGACACTGGTTCTCAGGATGTCCAGATCAGTATTGGCAGGACAAGTTAAATAACCTCAAGGTGACAGTGAAGTTATAGTTGTATGAATTTAAAAGGGACAAATGAACACACTGTATCTTGGTATTTCATATCTGGCTTCAGAGAGAAGGAAATAGGATGGTCATACTAGTCGATGTCTGATGTTTCCATGGATTAACTGGTTGCCTGCGTATTATTTTAATGCATTTTTATTATGCAGTAAAAAAATCCACTTTTACTGAATAAAGCCTTTCACCCAGCCCAAGGGCAGCAACCATGAAGAGAGGCATTGTATGTAGATATGAGGCAATTCGTACTAAATCAATTGTCTACCTACTCCTCAGGGATGATGGTGGCAGAGGTGTTTAAGCATATTGACTTCATCTACAATGCCAGCCTGTGGCAATACATGAGGACCACCTTCTTCCTCTTTGTCTTCACCCTGGGCTTTTATCTGCTGCTCAAGGTGCTTGGTGTGGACCTCCTGTGGACACTGGAGAAGGCACACAGATGGTGTGAGCGGCCGGAGTGGGTTCATATTGACACAACACCCTTTGCCAGTCTGCTTCGCAACCTGGGCATCCTGTTTGGACTGGGGCTAGGCCTCAACTCCCCAATGTATACAGAGAGCCGCAAAGTGAAACAAAGCCAACGGCTGACCTTCCGCCTCAGCTGCATCTTTGCCTCACTGTTCATCCTACACCTCTTTGATTCCTTGGAACTGCCTACCGACAGAGAGATCCTCTTCTACATCCTTTCCTTCAGTAAGAACACCTGCACTCATATCTGTGCAGTAGCCCTGATCCCTTATTGCATCTCCTGGCTGCTTCAGCAAACAGAAGAAAGATAGAACCCAGAAAGTTTGGAATAAGAAGTACAGTACTTGGGATTTGGCTCTTCAACCATCAGGACCTGGACCGAAAGGTTTATTAACCAAGAAAATACTATTTTTGAGGAGATTGAATGCCACCTCCCCTTCCACACACTGATCACCAGATTTGGGCCAGGAAGGCAGCAAGGGACAGTAAGGCTCTCCTAGCCTAGGAAGTGGAAGGTGGCTGGCATTTGGACAACTTCCAAAATGTGGGGGGTACAGAATGGAACACAGGGTGGTTGAACTACCTCGTTTGTTTTAAAGCAAGTTACATCCATTTTTGAGCTGAATTTTATCTATTCAGCCTGGAAAAATATATTGCTCTTTCTGCTTTCTACCTACTTCTTTGTACTGCTGTTCTGGTGCTTTTTCTCCATTTGTCCCTTTCAATGTTTGGACATGTCTACTTGTCTCTATCCCTCCATGGGTCCCTAACCTCAGTCTCTGGCATCTATCCCCTCACTCTGGTAGACCGAGTGTCCATGTTTCTCCTTATTTATCACTGGTCCAGATCTTGCATATAGTATGTGTATAATTTATTGCAATAGACCTTCCAATGAAATCACAGTTAGCTCAATACAGGAACTATGTGGCTGCTAGTCAAAGTGCACCTTGTTGGCTATGCCCCTGGAGAATTTCTGTATCTCCCAGAAATTTCACATAAAAAAAGTTTTAATTTTTTTATTTTTTTTAAAAAATGACTGGAGGGCTCCAGCTTCTTTCTCCCACAAGAGATCCCATCCAGGCTCTTCCTGTTTTCTTTTTTAAAATAGCCCCCAAACACCCATCTGCTGGTTCTGTGCAGTCTGCAGAGGGGACAAGGGACACATATTTTACCCCAAAACCTGCCGAGCTTGCTGTTCCTGCTCTTCAGCCATCCAAATATCAATCCACCTTGTGCAGGAGTGTGTACATGTCCCTTACGTGGATGATAAGGCACTCAGCTATTTTATTAGGGTTCATTCCTAAGCATACTTTCCAAAACATAATCAGAGCTACAGACCGTTCTGCAGGATTGTTTTATTCAAGAACTTGCATATGACCCAGGTAACTCTCAGCAAGATTTTGTGCACTAAACGTATTTGTCTCATTCACCCTAAAATTTTAGTCTGACTGCTATGTACAGGATGTAGGGCAGCCCATAACAAGACCTAATATTACAAGCATTTAGCATTCCTGTTTTTCAGGAATCTCAGCTGCTATGTGCCATAATTCACACTGCTTGCTGCTTGACCCATGGTGAAATATGGGAAGGAAGCAACTATCAGCTTCAGCTTGTTTGATCCAGAGGTACAAGGTTGGGGGATTAATGCCCTTCACCCTAAGTGATACTCCTGGGGGGGAGGGAAATATGCAGGCACAGATGAAATGATTAGAACAGAGGTGGCAATGGAGATCCTATAGATGCTTTTGGCTTACAACTCTCATCAGTCTCCAGCCAGAATTAACAATGGCTTATGGGAGTTGAGTCCAGAAATATCTGGAGGCCAACAGTTGCCCATCCCAGGCTAGAAAGAATGGCGGCAGCAAAATCTTGCGGTGCTCAATTGGAAGGCATAACTGAACAATTCTGACACATGAAAAATCAGGAAGAATTTCTGTCTTCAGAATGCTTCTCTCAGAACTGTGAAAGCCTTGATGCATGGGGAAGTTGCTTCTGGAGGGAAGACCTCCTCCCACCCACACACCCAGGTATGCTTTCTTGGTACCTTGCTCTTCAGTTTTACAGATTTTGCCCCCAAGAGAACTTTCCATCCCAGTCCTACTCCTCTCTGCATATATTATGTGCTGAACCTGGCATGCATGATACGAGAACACACAGCAAGGGAGATTCCTGTTATGTTACTTCATAGTCCTTATAGAGGACTGTTGCCAAAACCTTTCCCCCTAACATTTGCACACTACTTGTCTAGTCCTCCATCCCAGTCATTGCTCTGTTCTCTGCTCATTGACAAACTCTTGGAGGAGGGCTTCCACTTCTGTCCGCCGGCTCATTCGTGAGGCTTTGCCTTGATAGCGGCCACGCTTTCCTGCCCCTTTTCCTTCCAGGATTTCAGCCACCCTTGTGGGAAGAAGAAGAGGATCTCAGTGATACATTCAGATGGACTAGCTTTGTCCTCAGCCCACAATGGCCTTGGTTTCCAGTGAAGCTTCCCCAGACTGTACCACGACAATGTCTTGGCTAATTTGTTCTTATCCCTAAAGATGGCCAGATGGATACTCCTTTCCCTGTCTCTTTTTTTTCTCTTTTCCTTAAAAATGCCCAAGAGCATGCAGACCTTCTGTGGGGGAATGACAAAAACAACAAACCATCGCCTGCAACACATAATATGCACACCAATCCAGGACTGCATTTTACTTCTCCAATGGGTTCTAATGAGGAATGACTTACCTAGGGCCAAGTTTCTCCACTGTTTCAGGGGGTCCTGCAAGCAGAAAAAGCCCAGCTGCTTTTTCATCTCCCACAGATAGGAAAAGGAGGGTTTCCTGCAAAAAAACAACAGTGTTCCAGATTGGTCACTGCTCTTACACTACTCCTTAAGAAGCACAACTAAAATATTTCTCAAGTATACAACTGCTACTAGACAGCACTCAAAATGGAAAAGGATTTTTTAAAAAAGATTTTAAAAAAGTCTCAGTCTACATTTCAGTGGCACTCATCTGCATACAATTTATTAAGCCCTGCACGAACTTTTTAGCCCATTAACTTCTTATAAATTTACTTTGCTTTGTAGCTGCCATCTTCTCAAATCCCAGTAAAGCATTTAACTGCCTCAGATGGTCCAATGTATGCTAACATAACAGGTACATTTGAAGTAGGAACATAGTTTCAACCTAATTTTTTAAAAGAAAATACCCAGCTTTGGCACAACGCTAAATCTGGAAGAAAGCTCATAAAAACAAACAGCAACGTACCTCAGTTCCAATCTCATTTGCTATGATGTTCATGAATTCAGAATCACCATCTTTCCTGCACAGAAGAAGATGTTCAAAAATCCCATAGCAACTTTTCCCCCAACCCAAAATCTTCGAAAGATGAGCCTAAAATTATGCCCCTGCTATCACTGTAATGCTTCTCAATCTCACATGAAAGAAATGAGTAATGCCTGGACTGGCTGAGTGATAAGAAGAAGAAGAAGAAGAAGAAGAAGTAGTAGTAGTAGTAGTAGTAGTAGTAGTAGTAGTAGTAGTAGTAGTAGTAGTAGTAGTAGTAGTAGTAGTAGTAGTAGTAGTAGTAGTAGTAGTAGTAGTAGTAGTAGTAGTAGTAGTAGTAGTAGTAGTAGTAGTAGTAGTAGTAGTAGTAGTAGTAGTAGTAGTAGTAGTAGTAGTAGTAATAGTAGTAGTAGTAGTAGTAGTAACAGTTTCAGCTTTACTCATGTTGATTTTCAGTGTTTTTTAAAATAAACTTTATAATAGAAACAACAGTAGTGCCCTTCTATTGTTCTTTGGTCCGAAGAAGAAGAACAAGAAGAAGAACAAGAAGTAACAGTTTCAGCTTTAATCTTGTTGATTTTCAGTGTTTTTTAAAACAAACTTTATAATAGAAACAACAGTAGTGCTCTTCTATTGTTCTTTGATCCAACTTCATGTGGAACACTGTGGCCAGTTCTAGGCACAGTTAGAGGTGTATCTACAAACTGGACCACGCCTAGAGAAGGGTGACCAGGATGGTAAATGTCTGGAAATCAAGTCCTCTGAGGAACAGTTGAAATAGCTGAGGATGTTTAGGCTGGATAATGCTAATTTCCAAAAACATTTATGGGGGGGGGGGGAATGAAACTGTCCCTAGACACTCATGATTCCTAGCTCTTAACATTAACACAATTTTCTGTTGAGAGGAGACACCCCAAATTTTCCTTTCTTCAGGGCATCTGAAACCTGACTCTCTCATATTCACCTTGAGTACCCCTAGCACAGAACTACCTTTCCCCTCACCTGTGTAGCACAAAAAGTGGTTCTCGAGGCCCGTTGCTTTTGATGGTCTGTGCAGTAAGGACAGCCAAGTCTCTCAAAAGAGTCAAGTTATTCTGAAAGAGACATTGATTATGAGAATCAGACACCATTGCTCCATTGCCACAGGCAATCAACAGTGAGGGTGGAGCACACAGGCAATTCCCATCAAGATTAAGGCTGAAATTATCAAGATACAAATCATATTAGAGAGTCTGTATTTGGTTGTGCCACATTGTATGTGTCAAGAAGCTAACGTCCCCAGCACTAACTTGAGGATACAGTACTTTGTAGTGTCCTTTCCCTATAAATCAGTCTGAAAAACCAGTAAGAGCCAAATTGACTACCTTGCTAACATTTTATAGCACTACTGTACTACAGTAGTTCTCAGCCTGGTTCTCCTCTTGCAGAAATGAGGAGGTGTGCACACCAGATGCTGTTAAGACTGCAATTTCCATAATCCCTCACCTCTGACTCTGCTCTGCTGACTAGGGAAGATGGGGACACAGTCCAATAACATCTAAGACACATGTTGCATAGCATGTCCTGTTGGCGGAAACCACATAATTTCTTGGAAGCTACATCAAGTCCATCCTGTACATTGTTTGCAAGCATGGCCAGCAGCCAGGTCTGCCCTCCTGCTCCTAGTTGACCTGCCTTACTCAGCCATAATTTCTATCCTCCTTTACCAAGCACTGCCTTCCTACTGGCTACTTATGGTGTGGGGAGGGTTTGATCTCAGCCACTGCCAGCAAGATTCTCAGTTAAAGTTAGGGGTGAATGTCACTACTGCCCCTGGGAAAGATCTCATGTCAGGAAATTGTACCTTCTGAAGCTGCTTCAGAGAATTCTGCAGCCTCTTCACAGCCTCCACGTGCTCTTCGGGGCCATTCCTAAAGTGACAAAGGCAACCAAAATCCTTTAGAAAAAACTCCTATGACCTCTCATGGAGTACAAGCTTGATGGTGAGGGAGAGATGGCAAACTTAAAACAACGTCTTTTATGAAGCACCACTAAACAGCAAGGATTCTTCTCTTGACTCTTTCCATTTCCTGTGCAGTCAAGGCAAGCTGCATACCGAAATAAAAATCTCTTCCAGCGAACAAAAACAAATGATGGGTGTCCTCACTATTTCTCTACCAGCCTTCAAAAGCTTTTCTCTGACAGGTGAAGGGAAACTTGTTTTGAATACCCTTTCGGGACTCTGGGTAGCTCTTTCCACCATGTCAGATATAGGAAGAGGAATACTTGCTTAAGCAATGATGTCAGGGCCTTCTCCGTGGCATGACTTCGCTCTAAGGTTTTCAGCACTCTGTTCCCAGCTAGGAAAACTAAGTTAGTCTTGTTCTTCTTCCCTTTTTCAGTACCCAGGAGCTTAATAACCTTCAAAACAGAACAACAACGAAAAGTACTCTGAGAAGGAGATATCTGTGAGCTAAACAAAGTGGAAGGGTATGACACCTGCATGTAGCTTGCCATTTATATTTACATGAGAAAATATAAGCCACAAAGGAATAGAATTTATTCTCAAACAAAGCATAGATGCAGATTGTGGAATGGCCATGTACTCATATCTGATTCAGTCCAAGGCCTCAAACCTGGGGCTACAATGTCCAAGCCTTCCCAATATCTCACCTGGAGGTCACTGAGATTGGAGACATGGGTGCCACAACACATGTTGGCATCAATGCCCTCAATGCTTATTATCCGAACAGGCCCAGTATGATCGTCTGGCAAGCCACGGCTCCTCACCTGAAATGCAAACACCAGTTAGAGGTGAGGATACAACAAGCTCTCCCTTCTCCTCCCCAGCCCAGAGTCTACTTACCAGCTCAACGTCAGGGTCACCCACCACAAGCTCCCGCACCACCACTGGAACTCGGGCCCGGATCTTCTCATTCACACTCTGCTCAAGGGCTGCCACCTGATCGGCTGCCATTGAGGGGGTGTCCAATTCAATGGTACTTCGCAGATGACCCAATTCCCTGCAATAGGAGGGGAGAGAATAGAGGACCCATTTCCTTCAGTATCTTGGGATAAGATGTTTAGAGGACCTCCTGACCAACCTCATCCTTTGCATCAGGGTTAACAGACAGACACTAAGCTAAGGGTTGTGAACTTCCATCTATCAACACAAAGGTTAAATCCAGTTTCACATTGTTTCTTGGGGTATACATTCCAGTGGTGGGCAGAGCCAAAGAGTGGGATAAAAACAATATGACACTTTAGCTTACTCCCAGTAACTAATTCTCAGGAGAGATATTTCAGTCGGGATGGGGGCATACAGAACTTGGGAAACCATTACATGACAGCGTCATGGGGAACTCCGGAGGGTCAGACTAACTACTAAGGACAATCACATTCATTACCAGAGTCTCAGTTTTGTCTGCCATGCACTAGGCTATGTGTATGGCTCTATCCCAACTTCCCTAACAACAAACCCCACTGAAGCTTAACTTGACTGTTATCCTGTTGCTTAGGGCACTGGTTCTTAACCTTGGGTTACTCAGTTTTGGACTGCAACTCCCAGAAGCCTTCACCACCAGCTGACCTGACTGGGGTTTCTGGGAGTTGCAGTTCAAAAGCATCCGAGTAACAAAGGTTAAGAACCACTGGCTTAGGGGAATAAATTGAAGTAGAGTAGGCTCATTTGATCAGAGAGGATTTGATAAGTCAATTCCTCTGTAAGTTTGATTCAAATGAACCTACTCTTGATGTGGCTTACTATGCTAAAGTAAGTTGTGACTAAAGTAGGCCCAACTGAATCAAGAGAATTTATGGAAGAGCTGACTCACCAATCTCCACAGATCCAGTGGGCTTACCCCAGTGTGACTTACTATGCTTTGCAACAGGATTTTAGGCTATGTTTCTATATGGTTATAGGACTGCTTGTTTTTTACATGAGGTGATAGGTGAAGGTGAAAACAATTAATTAAATGTTTAATAAACAGAAAACTTGCCTATGTGTAAACATGTGACTCTTTTTCAGTTAAAAAAGATCTACTGTACTAAATTGTGACAGCCTTCTGAAGGCAACTTTTCAATGAAAGTTTATGGGAGCAGAACAATTTCTTCCTCTCATGGTGTAAACTCTGCATGGAAGTGTTGGAATTATAAATACACACTGCCCATTTAGTTCTTTCCAGTAGCCTTATAGCTTGCTCACCATGATGTTGTCTTGAAGCCAAACATCAGATCTGCAAGTGCTGTGATAAGATGTTGCCCTGAAAAAGACAATTATAAAACATTTTCCTCTACCCTTTCTGGCAGACAAGTTTAGAAAGATTTAAAATTTAGCTTTTGCAGTGCTCCACTTGGAAAAAAAAGAGAAGGGTGTCACAAATACTATTTTCTCACCTGAATGCTGCTGCATGTGATCAAACCGCCGGTCCCAATCCAGCACTAGCTGCACTTCACTCCCTGGCTCAAGGGGAATCTGGATGAAATGTAGAGCATCTGGACCTTGTCGGGTGACTCTAAGCACTGGGGTGTCATTAATAAATCCCCGATCATCAGGCTGAACAGAAGAGATCAAGGTCACTATTCTCTGGGGAACAGTATATAGCTGCACCCCACAAAACATGTGCCAAAGATGCAAGCTGAATTCACTTCTTTCTTGCTACTGGTTGCTGTCTCTGAACAATGATACACTCTGTCCATGTTCTCGCAATACAGGAAACTGCTAGGTAGGTGTGGACAAATAAAGTGGGTGGGTGGGTGGCAGTTCCTCAAGTCACCTTTGCAATATTAATTGGCCCAAGTAAACACTCTTAGCATTTTTAATTACTCACAGCACATTTTCAGGCAGATTTCCACTACCACCATAAAATAAATAAAATGTGTCACCAAACTGCATACAGTGCAAGCCAAAGCATTTTCACTTGGAAACATATTCCAGTGTATTCAAACCAGCTTACTCCCTAGTAATAAACATGCTGACAATTGCACCCTTAAAAGTCTAAATGTAAAAGTAACCTTGCAAACATCGGGTTTATAAGAAAAAAATCAGGAAACTGCATATTCCTAATTGTAGAGATAAATTCATCAGAAGCCCTGACTCTATTGTCCTGTTGTATTTTTCAAAGCTTGTGCAAGGAGGTGTTCAGCAAACTTTTACACAAGCATAAGCCTCACTGAAATCAATGGGGATAATCTGTACCTTGTGTGCTGGAGCCCAAGATACCACCAGTCACAGTGCCTGAGACATTGGCCTTCCTTTCAATAACAGAAAGTATCAGTAAATCCCAAGAAACATATTAAGAAATATGCAATATTTTTAGAGCACACAAAGCAGATTCTGTTCTGTTCTGAGTCCAACCAGGAAGAACTACTGTTACCTGGCCTCCACCCTCTGGGAAAAGAATTGTGTCTTCCAAAATGACATGATATCCCTGCAGGATCTCTTTCTTTCCTCCTGTCTCTGTGGACAACTCTGCAGGACAGCAGGAGACCACCCGTGTAGTAAACTGTAGAGGAAAAAAGAAAAGATCATACATAAATACAGCTATTCTAAAATTATGAAAGCCTTCAGATCTGGAGGTAATGAACTCCCAGAAAACAGAAATCAAAGGAGCAGGTACCTAACATGGAAGCAAAAGATCCTGAATTAGATGCTTCAGTGTTTTCATTTTTAAAAGTATTGTTCAGGAAAGAAAATGTAGTTTTTTTGTACAGATTTGCTCACAACAAAGAGTATGGTCAGCATCTTTCAATGTGTCTCTTGTTATTTCTCTATATACTGCCTTCTAATATAAACGTTTACCAGATAAAACATGCATGTAATAAATAACATTTTAATACCTTTTATGATAGGTTTTATTAAAACAGTACAGAATCTAAACAGCAATAAAAGCATATTTCCTGTTAAATACCAAATATTTGGCAAAATACTGTACAGATTTTTCAGTTGTCCTGAAAATGAGACCATGGAAAAACACAGAAGGGCCTCTCTAGAAACTCATTTATAGAGCTGTAGTGTCATAAAGGAAAAGATATATTCTTTGGCTGTTTCCAGACGGAAGGCTCCTAGTGCTACCAATCAAAATATATTCTGCAGCAGTTCTGTCTTTTCTATCTTAATATGGGGTTTCTTGAAAGGAAAAAGTTGAAAATACAGGAGCATTATTGTTGTTAGCATGTGACATAGTCTCCTCTGACTGATGGTCACCCTCTGAATGAGTGACCTCCAGAATGTCTTGTCATTAACAGCCTTGCTCAGCTCTTGCAGATTTCAGGACTGTGGCATTCTTTATAGGGTCAATCCATTTTACATTTGGTCCCTGACTGATGGTCACCCTCTGAATGAGTGAACTCCAGAATGTTTTGTCATTAACAGCTGGTCCTGGAGTGAACTCCAGAATGTCTTGTCACAAACAAGTGGTCCTGGATCAAATCAAAGTTGAACTCTGTCTTGAAGCAAAAGTGATACAATTGTGGCTGTTGTACTTTGGGCACATAATGAGAATACAAGACTTGCTACAAAAGACAATAATACTAGGAAAAGCCGAAGGATGCAGGAAAAGAGAAAGACCAAATGTAAGATGGATTGACCCATCCTTCTTACATTTGGTCTTTCTCTTTTCCTGCAGCCTTCGGCTTTTCCTAGTATTATTGTCTTCTGTAGCAAGTCTTGTATTCTCATTATGTGCCCAAAGTACAACAGCTACGATTGTATCACTTTTGCTTTAAGAGAGAGTTCAACTTTGATTTGATCCAGGACCACTTGTCTTCATGGCAGTCCATGGTATCCCCAAAGCTTCACTCCACCACTATATTTCAAATGAATCCATTTTTTCCCTGACATTATTTTTCACTGTTCAGTTTTCATATTTGTACACAGCAACTGGGAATATAATAGTGTGAATAATATTGGCCTTGGAAGGATTACAAAGTACATCTAAACCTTCTGTGAATTATATCACTGAAGCAGGAAGATTACAGTATACAATAAAAACCTCTGCTAGAAACAATATTAGAAGTACTTTTCTTGACACTATCATTATCCCTTTCCTACTTCCTTGTTGCCGTTTCTTCTTGACATGACAAGGCTTGAAGACTGGATTTTGTGATGATCTTATTACCTTATACAAGTATTTGTCAGAATGAATTGTACTGTATTGAATTGTTATATGAAACACTCTGAATGACTGCAATAAATCAGGCAGAAACAGGTGTACATGAAGACACATCAGCCTGTCTAAAAATTTACTCCTTTATCTAGCAGCTGTGGTGTGCCCTGCGCAGTTCAGCACAGAAATGATGTTATCTTGGCTCAGATCATAATGCCACCAGGTTTCTAAAACAGCCCAGACCAGCTTGGTGCCCTTCAATACTGCTGCACTGCAATTCCCAGAATCCACCATTCGGTATGTGGGAATTTTAATTGTATTTTAATCATTTTATCTTTTATTGTATTTTAATTGAATTTTAATTGTTGTAAGCCGCCCAGAGACCTTTGGGTAGAGTGGGCAGCATATGTTAAATAAATAAATAAATAAATAAATAAATAAATAAATAAATAAATAAATAAATAAATAAATAAATAAATAAATAAATAACGGGGGCCGCCTTCAAAGAGCGCTGGACAGAAGCAAGCCTGTTCTAAAAGCAAACATACTCTATTCTAAACCTAGGCGTAGCGCGAAAAAAATTCCGATCCTCCTTCTCCTGAAATTTCGGTCTCGGTTTCAGTATAACCTCTCGCAAGTGCAACGGCTCAAGTCGGCACAAACCATATTGGCACAGATCTGCACACACACGCACACAACAATGCCAAGGCGCGCTTGCCCCGCAGCCCAGATCCCTTTCCCTCTCGCTTTTCTCCTGCCACACCTGCTGGAGCCAGCTCTCCCGCTGGCACTTGAAGGCCATTGGACGAACTTCTCAGCAGCGGACCCAAAAGAGACGGCAAACGTTGCTCTTCATCCGCAAATCGAGGAGCAAACGCGATTGGCTGCGTCCTCCCGGCCTACGGTGGCCGATGAGAGTCAAAATTATTTCGATGTTCACTGTTTCGCCTTCCTTACGTTTCCTTAAGGGAGGGAAAGGGCTTGAGGTGGATCGTCCTTCGAGCCGAGGGGAACAATTGACAGCCTTAGGTAGAGCATGAAAGTGTGTAAACCTCCGTGGCGGAAGCTGTCCTGATCAAAGGCCACTTCATCATCACATGGCAGCGGAAAACGTATGCCGCAGTTTCCAATTTATTATTACTTTATTACTACGATACTCTTAAACCAGTACAGTATTCTGTTGATGGTCTCAGCAAAAGCATCTGCGGAACTAACACTTACGTATATCACGTTGAGTCAATGGATTCTGTTCTGATTGGGACTAGCAATTGGATTTTTGCCTGTATTTCTTTTCACCTACGGCTGCTCCTTAGTCAGGCGAGGAAGTCCTAACTCCTAACATTTTGCGCTGCCCAAACCAGTGGCAGCGTTTCACAAGAAGCAGCTGAAAGATGCTGCCCAGTAGCTGGAAGGGTTGTGATTACAGCAAAAGATGCTTGAAATTCATTCCCCACTGCCCAAGGTCTTTGCACGGTACATGAACGAGTCTAGAAAGATGAGAACAAAAAGCAAGAGAGGGATGTGAAACACCTTGGCTCAACTAAATCCTCCTGCCTGTGCTGTGTTTCCTTTCTTCACACCAAGAAATTGGGGGTGGGGGTTGCAGCAGCTCCTTCTCTTTGGAGGAGGAAAGGAATATAAATATCCGTGCTATTTTAATATTTGAATTAATAATGGCCTCGCACACAACTAGAAATGAAGGGTGTACAGTACCTGTATTTGCATACAGTACTGTCAAAGCTTGTTCTTGTATAGCTCAAATAAAGACCACTGGCAGTTGTCCAATAACACAGAGGTCTGACAGCAGGATCAGTTTTATTGTTAAACAGAATGAAGCAGCTGCCTTAGACAGCAGATGCTGGTATGCAAGTAGAGCAGTCATCAGATGGTGGAGGACAGACCAGTATGTGCCATGTGGCCATACTCTAGTCTGCTGCTGACCTCAACAGGCGAGTGAGTGCCTGAATGAGTGGGATAACTGTTCCATTGCCAGGGCTGAAATGATTATCCCGCTGACAGTCTGGCCAGCATCTGTACACCAGATTGGAAACAAGCACTGTTTTGTCCTTTGTCCCGCAAACAAATATCTTCAGCTGATGATGTCTTATGAGCGTTGTTTGTTAAAATCATGATTGATATTTGGGCTTCTATGGCCTTCCTGATATACTGTATGCTGCACAGAAAGCAACTGATATGTATGCAGGTGAGCGCATGATCACAGAGCTGAATCTCATTTTTCCACAATGATTTCAGCTGCGCGCCCCTTTTTTATGTATACCTACCATTAGGCCACCTATATAGTACGAATATTTATGATTTGGTTGTTACATTTATATCCAACCTTTTTTCCAGTGAGATGAAATCAGTGTACATAGTTCTTCTCCCTTCTTTATCCTCATAATAAGCCTGTGAGTTAGGTCAGGCTGAAAGTGACTGGCCCAATCATTTAGTACCTTTCATGGCTCAGTGGAAACGTGAACCTGACTCTTCCAAGTCCCAGTTAAACCACTGTGCCAGGAGCTGTAGTCCAAAAAAGAAATTTCCAAGCTCTGCATGAATTTTTTTAGAAATCTACTGTAAAGGTAACTTGGGGCGAGAAATGTGCCAACTACAAGCATGATAAAAATGCATCTTCAAGTGTGCAGTCCTACAAATGTCTGCTTGGGTAGATATTCCCATGTAAATATACATGGTATTTCACACTTTTTCCTGTAGTTGTGTTGTGACACTCCAAAGAAAGCCAGACTTGAATAAAAATCTCCTTTTCCACTGAAGCATCATTTGTTACCTGGTGCATACTGATGGATTTCTGCATATGTGGTTGAAGGGCCTCTGTTTTGAAAAGTAAGTATTATGTTTTTCAGCATTTGCTTTTCTTTGAAATTCTGCAGGCCCAGTAGTTTGCAACAGTATAGACAGACTGCTAGGATTAACAAATCACAACTCTGCTTCTCTGAAGTGCTGGTTTGGTCATCTCTTGTGCCCCCCCCCCACAAAAAATGTTGCTAATCAAGGAGATCAGTTCTTCACTTCTGAATCCACCATACCTTTAGACTTGTCAGATTCATTCTTCAATATAGAATGTCCTAATAGAAAAGAGGACAGGGCTCCTGCATCTTTATTAATTGTTCAGAAGAGAGAATTTCAGCAGGTAAATTTCTGTCTTCTATTGTTAAAGGTGTACAAACCCTTTTTTTCACTGGCCACTCTATGTCAGACACATGATAGTGACAGTCAACAAAAAGATCAGATTTATTACTAGTATTTATTTTCAGGTCAATGAATAGCTTCCTGCTTTTATTTACATCTCAAAGAAATGCTATGGAGAGAAAAGGGGAAATGGAGAGGGAAGGACAGAAAGAAAAAGGAGTGCTGGTCAGAGAGAAAAGTAAAGCCAGAACAGAACCAAGCAGCAGCATACCATAGGAGGTCCTGTTCCCACTTATGTAAGGGGGAGAGAGGACTGTGTCCATTACATTGTCCTTCAGCAATAAGAGTCTAAGAGGAAAGAGTCCCCCTCTAAGGCTAGGGCTTGTGCTCCTCATGCAGCCTCCTGGAGCAAAACTGTAAAACATGAAAATCCCTGAGGTGTGTACATCAGTCATCACTTCCTCCGTTCCATTTCTTCTCCACCATCTCTTGCTTTAATCTCAGTGGTGCTTTCATACCTGGGCAGGGGGGAGAAAAATTAATTGCAGAATTTCCTGTGTCTCATAAAAGGCAGGAAGGCAAAGAAGTGATGGGAAATACACTGTAGCAACCAGCGGGCTATTCACCGCTAGCTCCACTTCCAGATATTTAGGACTGAATGGAGATTAAAACAAAAACTGGTCCACACAGCCTGGAATCTTACCCAATAGTCTTTCTGACTGGGTGAGAACTGTGAGCACAAAACTTTGAAATGGGAAGCTTTGAAAATGGATAGTTGGTGGGAAGCTGAGAAGATAGGAGGAAAAAAGATTGGAAGCAGCATATAGAAAGTCTTCCTTTGGTAGACAAAAATATCATTAGTGGATTATGGAACAAAATTAATTTGACGGATTCACAATGAACTGATCTAAAATTCAGCAGTCTTGAAATGTATGTACTGTATCTGATGCTTTAGCGTTCAGGGATTCCAGTTTTCCTCGTTTTTATTTAATTCATGTAATTGTTGCATGTTATTTGAAGATTTGTATTATGCTTCACATTACTATGTATGTATTTATTTAGTTAGTTCAGTTTACTGAAATGATACATTGCATGATAATCTTTTATACTGATGAATTACTTTAGATATGCAACTGAACCTGTCCAGGAAAAGACTACAAAGTGAAAGCATAAAAGTGAGAAAGGGGATATTTCTAGACCAGATACTGTAGTCCTGTTAGGTTTTGTTTCCATGTCATATAATCAAAAACTCTGATACAACCCCAATGGCAGTTCTCTATTTCCTTTCTTTAAAAAAAACAACAGTTGTTTCAGAACTGGCACATCAAGTATGTTTAGGAAAGGCATTCCCTAGCCCCATGTTACCAGTTCCCCTCCTTTCAAGCATGGGGGGGGGTACTGCCTGGAGCTGTCCCAGATTTGGGTGCCATGAAGATTACCTTTGGAACATGCACTTTTCAGATGTCATCCTGGAAGCATTAACAACAGCAGACAGGAAGAGATAAGTATCTTTATGGAAGGAACAACACATTTTATCAGATTTTGCAAGAATGCTGTGAAAGAGCTACATTACTGACATAGACTCAAACCACTTTGATACAGATAGCAAGTCGTTAGAAACAAGAATTTCCTTTATTAAAAGATGTTGGATTGTCAAAGCACAAGCATTTTCACATCCAATATCTTCCAAATTAGCTTCCTTTGTTTTGTGATTGGGAAGTAATCATGGGCTTTGATTGCCAGTGTAATTGCTCAAACATGAATCTCTGTAGAATTTTATGACTTTCTATTTAGTTTTGGAGAAGTCCTTTAAAGCAGCAGTGGGGTACAAATCCCCTCTCCACCTGCTAGACTCATTAATTCGTAAGCATAGCAACACCAGGGAAAGAGAAGCAACTTGGGGACAGACTGACTAAATCTGACTTTATATGAATCTCACTTGACTATTACCTCCTAAGTACTTACATCAAGGTCATCCATGGCAGGAGGTGGCCCCTTCTTTGTGACACTCTGCATGAGCTGTATGGGAATAGAAAGACTAGGTGTGAACACTAGGTGTTGCTTTTAAATGTGTTTTCCCTATTGATTTTATTTACTTGTTTTAATTCTTTTAAAATAATTGTATACTTATTCTTTTAAATATTGTCCTTTTCATTGTGTAAGCTGCCTTGGGTCCTTTTAAGGAGAAAGGCATGGTAAAAATATTTCAAATAAATAATCTTCCCTTTTAGGCCCTCTTTGCTTCCTCTCTGCTGCTCCTGTCTTTTATTTACCAGAAAACAATCAATTAAGGAGAAAAAGACATAATAGATGTGCAATGCCTTTTGACTGTTAGCTCTAGGAGCCCTTAATTTGGAAGCACCCTAAATTTAACTGGACTTTTGGAGATTAATGACAGATTAAATGAACACTTTGAAACACTATATGTTCTGAAAAGGAAAAGCTGTAGAAATACAGAGCTTGGCAAATTTACTTTTTTGGGGGATTATCAGTCCTGAAACCCCTTTTCCAGCATAATCTGGCTGTACCAGCTAGGGGGATTCTGGAACCTGTGGTTCAAAAAAGCAACTTTGCCAAGCTGAAAATAAATTATATATAAATACTAAATTGACCATGCTGGCTGGAGGACTCTAGGAGATGTACAGTAATCCAAAAAAGTAATTTATTGCATTTTTTATGATAGCATAATTTTGCTTGTTGGCAAGAGATGGTCTTTCCACTACAGCTGCTGTTCAAATGACTGCCAGCCATATTAACTGGTTGTTGTTGTTGTTTGCAATCTCCATACTTTTCTGGCTAAAAAGGCTTTGTTGTTCCTTTTATCACTGTTGGTCAAGGAAGCCAGATCAAGTACAATCGTAGGAAAAATCAGGCCACAAGTGCCTCCTTCAAATGTTGGCGCAGCTGCTTTGTCTAGAAAAGAACTCCTGACTCTGCCTTGATCGCTATAAATGGACTCACCTCTGCATACTGTTCAACCATGGCTGCTTCCACCTCCTCGTCTCCTTGCCAGTCCCGCCAGTTATCAAAGTCCACAGAAAGCCATGCTGGCTGCAAATAAGATGAGCAATTACAATACTGTATTTAAATTTACACTAATGTGATATCTATATTGTCACTACCATTGGACAACCTGGCTATGTCCCTTTGTAGCCTCCAAATGCTCTTCAAGAGTAGCACCAAACTACCATTCAACTAGTCGAATGTAATGTAACCAAGATACTGTATGGATAATTATTGCCTAATGAGACTAACTCTGGCATGGTTACACTGCTTACTAGCTATGTAAATGTGATCCTTACCACTGCCTGAAAATCTGGGAGCAGCACAGGATTGTGGAGCATTCCCAAGCAATTAATAGAGAAGGAAAATCTTCAAGGATAAGTTGGATCCCAACACCCAAGCCAGATAAGACCAATAGCACCTCTGTCTTGTCTGGATTTAACTTCAGCTTGCTCATCCTTATCTAGCCCAAAATCAAACTCAAATAACATTCAGAGGAATTGATCTAATTATGACTCAAATCCCTACATATCTTATGGAATTATACCATGTTAACGTCAACAATGGGAGCAAAACAAACAGTTGAAAGTAATTAGAATCAGAAATATGGTCCCCTTTAGCAAGACAGAAGACTTAGGCATCGTCTTTGGGGATTTGGAGTGCAATCCTGACTGGACAAGATGGCCAAAGCTGAACAGAGAGGTAGCCAGCTGAAGCTATGCTGAATCCAACCTTTTCACAGTCTAGGGATAGTGGAAATAATTGCCCTTGTTGTGGTATAATTTTCCATCAGCAGTGTGGCTATGCCTATGGGCTTAGTCATAGAATAACTGAGTTGAAAGAGGCCTATAAGACCACTGAGTCCAGTCCCCTGCTCCCTCCCTGAGGGAGGTATGAATCTGGTGTGCCCTTTATATATATATCCTTTTCTGGTTTTCTGTCAGCAGATCATGGCCAGCAGAACAGTTCTGCTGACAGAGCCTTGAAATCAGCCAGCATAAGAGGATTCTGCCAGCAAAAGGGTATGCCCCTAATCCTAAACTACTGTCAGAAGGAAAGAGAATGGCTTCTATCAGAATCAAATTTGCCCATTCCTCCACAAGCTACTTCCCAACTCTACCTCATGATGGCATGGAATGGCTAAATAGCAGGGAAAACAAAGAAATTTGGCTCCTCTGACCACTTTCCAGCCAACCTGGATCTGACAGCTCCTTGGGGAATTCCAATGTCTTTGACAGAAAGTGAATGATTTCCATGAACACTTTCTTGGTAATCAGCAAATTGGCTTTACTGATGTCTGTTTTTCATTTCAGACAAAGACTGGTATAAACAGTGCAGATATCCTCACATGGTGCTTCCCTTCAAGACATCCCACTTAGTTCTCTAAGAAAAAGGGAACAAGCAGTAAGTTCTACCTTGATGTCCTCCTTGGTCAGCCGTGGCCAGGCCACTTTTTCCTTCCACTTGCGCACAAAGAGAGTGATGGACCTGCCTGAGCGCTTGTTCTGAGAATCCTAAAAGGGATTGTATTGTTACAGAAATCAATCCAGACCCCCAAAAGCACAGGTATAAAAGATTTAATACTTCCATTATGTTGCAGAGACAGAAAATAATGTTCTAGAACAGCCATTCTCAACATTTTTGGACCCCCACAATGCTTTTAGGAGCACTTCTCAAGTTCTAGGGCCTTGTCAAACAAGGAAACCTTTTGGCTGCGTGCAAAAAAAAGATACAACATGAACAGATGAATCTATAGCCTCCTTCAAATGTGCCATATGGCCCCCATTGAGAATGGCTGTTCTAGAACAAAGCCATACTTTCTATCTCCTCCTAATGCAGGACAGAGTAGCACCATGCATTCAAGAAACAGAGAAAAGCTTAAGAGATAAGCAAACGCTGATTGTAGCTAAACATGCAATGTTAGATATTTATATGCAAGTGGTTGTCCCTTGTACCACAGGTAAAAGTATCTGTGTTTAATAGCTACGGATGTAATAAATGCATAGGTGATGGAAGACTGAACATACAAAAGAGCAGTTGATCAGTAATTATGTTCTGCAAGCCTGCATCTGAGGAATCACAGCCCTTGGAATGATTTTCAGAGTTGTCTCCCACTACTGTAGTTTTCGGGAAAGCCTTCCTATTGGCTGCTTCCAGGCCCTGGAACTTTAAGCAAGTGATTGGATTCTAAAAACATAACTTTTAACGGATGGGTGCTGTACTTTGGTAATATTATGGTTGTCATTATTGGCAGGAGTGTTTTTTAAACTGTTTTGACTAAATTTTGTTTTAATACAAAAACTTGTTTAATTGTATTTTTAATTATATAAATTACTGCATTTTTATTTGTACTTCTAAAAATAATAATCTTATGAGTCACCTTGGGACCTGGTTCTAGGAGGAAGCTAGTCTAGAAGTTAAATAAACCATTCAACAAACATAGTAAACCTGCAGGTATTTTATAATCTTCCTATCCTTTTTATTACTGTGTTTATGTAGGAAAAAAAATGTGGCTAAAATTTCTTCCAAACTGGTGGCTCCTAATTCTGTTCATTAATTACTCTTTTGCTAAGGACCTCATGTGGAACAACTATAAGTTACGTGCAGAAAGTTGGTATGGTGTATGTGCAGAGCTTTTGTGTGTATGCATCCCTGCATATATATAATAGATGTGACAGAGCTGCATGGAAAAAAGGAGTTATGATTCTGATAATGCCAGCGGCTTACTTCCGAGTACTTCTAGAAAACATTCAAGAAGAGGATGATCAACTGAGAGTCTTTCTGCTGTGCTCCTCACTTTGTCCAGAGGTTTTCTATAATGGACAGTGATTATTTCCCACTTTCCTCATTCTGATGGCCCACAGCTGCTCCCCTCTTTGTTGAATTGCTCACCTTGGAATTTGTCCGGTCATAAAAGTTGATCTCATTGTACATCTCTATACCATCAGCATTCTTACAGCTGGAAAAAAATGAACAGTAAACACTTCTGTGTAGTTGACTGACACTTTCTCTTCAACTGAGAAAGTGTGAACTGAGAAATTACTTCTGAATAAATGCCCTGCTGGCTAGATTGCTTAGGTGTTAAGGAATATATGCCTTAATGACTTTTCCCCTTTTGCCAGCAAAAGTTGCAGTTCTGTAAGAATTGTTAACTTAAGTCCATTATCACATTGGCTTTTGATAAATTTCACTCTGTATAGTATTGGTTTGTCCTCCACTATATAGGCTTAGGACTGCTGGTTCACAAGCATCCATGGCAACCAACACTTGCTATCTATACAATAAAAGAGAAGTTGTCTTGCTGAGTGTGTCTGTCTTTGTCAAATTTCCAAGACCATGAAGTCTCATTCCTTAGCACACTTGATGGATTCCTCTGAGATGTGCTTCTGAGACAAATGGAATTAGTCATGAACACTAAGGAAACCTGGAGTTTCTCCAGGAGATTTCTATGTGCTGCTTCCCTCTCCAAGGCCCCTGAACTATTCAGAGTGGGGGTAGGGGGTAGAAAAGGACTAGGTAAATGGGCAGGAAAGGGGTGAATAAGCAGCAGGTTGGAGAAAGGGGGGAGACTGGAAGATGGATCAGAATGAGAAGAAAGAGCATAGGGAAAGAAAGAGAGCACTGGAATACAGAGGGCAAAAGAGTTTCTAGTACTTGCAAGGCTAGGTATCAAAAAGTGACAATCAAAAAGTGAATACTAGGGTCTGCACAAGTTGCAGTACACGAAAACAGAAGAAAACAATTGTGGGCATTCAGGAGAACCTTAACTGGGTAATTTATCTATGGTTTTTCCCTTTTGTGTGGTGGGCTTTACTGAATTAGGAAAAAGGTGTTAACATGTTGTACTGAGTATGTTAGATGACTAAAAATCTCTCTGCCTGCATTCATATCTAATTTTATCCAGATACAAGAATTCTCAAGACAGACCCTTACCTGAACACCACCTTGTAATCATCAAGATCCACTTTCACATCTGTACTGTCTTCCACACAAAACTCCATAAACACATATCGTGGACGGTCATACCACAGAGTTTTGGCTGGCTGCCTTGGGAAACACAGAAACAGCACATGTTGGAGCAATAACAGAGCTATAGGTTACAAATACCACTGCTAGGAAAAAGATGGTGGCTTGAAACCATTGCATGTTACAGTGTTGGTCCATCAGCACTAAAGATTTTAAAGAGCTGAAACTCCTTGAAGTCTCATAGCTTCCACAAAACTATGGCAGGTGTGGATTTTTCCATGCCATCAATACTTGTATAGTGGAGGATACTGTAATTAGCTTTTAGCACCCTAGAGTTCCAAGCCTTGCAGTTTTTAGTGAACACAATCCAAAGTAATTGATCTGGAATATGTGATGCAATCTGGTCTGTACCAATGAGCAAAATCTCCTTGCTTGTGTGTGTATGTGTGTTTTGCCTCAGGTCTGCAATCGTATGACCCAAAATTCAGACCTCTCTAAGATCAAGCAGCCTTTCTGGTACTGTACTTCCAAATGAAGTACCCAAATGGTACTTCCAGATGAAGTTTTGATTATGCAGTTGCCCTGCCTCACAGTTCAAACACAGACATTAGAGGGGAGGAATAAAGGGGAGCCCGGGCATAGTTGTCTTCTTATATATTTCCAGTGTGTCCCGCCGTTTCTTCAGTTTTCTTTTTCCAAAAATAATCAGAAAAGATTGAATAATTATACGATGCCTTTTGGCCAGTGCCTCAAGGGGCCTTTTGGCTGGAGTTTGGAGGGGAAATAAGGACTGTGTTTATTTCCTGAAAAGGAAATGCTCCAGCAAACTTTTATCGGGAAGACACTATCGCTGGAAGTTGAGGGCTAACCCTCTATTCCCCGATGCATAAGAGCTATTTATAGCTACCCAATAGCCAAAGAGCATACATTCAGAGCCTGACAGCGTTGATTTCAGCCCTTGTGCTGGAAGGAGGGTGCCCTTCCTTCCTTCACGTGGGGAAAAGGAGGGGCTGGGGACGGGAACCTTCCTGATCAGAGAGGTCGCGCGAACTCTAAACCGCAGAGAGCACATCCTCTGGGATCAAACGATAGTTTCACCCGTGTATTGTAGCAACACAATACTGACAGCAATACTGACAGTCCACCGCCCGGACTCACCTTGCCATGGCGACTGCAAACCCTCGGCGTCTCCGTCCAAGGAAGGGGGCTGCATTATTTGAAGTCCCCCTCTGGCCAGGCGGAGCCAGGCTTGGAGCCTCCCTCTCGCCCAGCTGCCGCTGCCCATCATCACCCCCATTTCTCCCGAGGAGGGCCGGACTCCAGAAATTTCCCGATGGATCCCAAGAGAGTATCGGCCAAATGCCCTCAAATGCTGTAGAAGTGATTGTTTTTTTTTTACAGTACTGGGTACTCTCTTGAAGTGTTGCATCGCACTTGGAAAAAAGAACTTTGCCTCGAGATAAATTTGCAGACCGCTGGAAGTGTTCGCCTTTTGCGACATAAGACAGTTTTATGGCACCTCAAGGACTGGCACGTTTTATGATGGCACAGGAATTCTTGCAGTCTCCTAATACACGAACTCTTGTACCCTCACAAATGTGTCAAGTCTTCTCTGAGTGCCGTAAAATTCGTTATTTTTGTTTGAGAAAGGATATGAAAGTTTTCTGAGAAATATATGACGAATATGTGATTTTGTTATAGAGACAATCCACGTTGAGCGCTTCTAGGCTAAAATGCATAAGCTCCCCACTGAATACAAGGGACCTACTTCAGAATAAACATGCTTGACATCGCTCAACAAATCGGGTTCCTATCAGCGCCGTATGATTAACTTTCCCATCGATACCTCTTTAACTTTTTTTAAATTTTCACTGGACTCCCTCCCAACTTTTTGACATTCGCCTCCTTTCGCACAGGGTATCAAAATCATAAATATTGTATTGGGCAAACAAAATCCTGGCACCTTTTAGCAACATAGCCAGGACTTGTTCTCTTGCATTTCCTGAGATTTTTTTTTTTAATTAAAGATGAAGAACGTGCGTTCTCGCGATGTTATCGACAAAAGTAAGAGAAGATGGTTGAGTTACGCGCACGGTCGGAAGCTGCCTCCCTTTGCACCGCCGCCCACTCTTAACACTGAAGGTTAGGGTTGGATGGCTTGAGGAGGCACCTGCTATAGCTCTAGGGGCATCCGGCAGCCTTTCGACGCGACAGCCGTTCCGGAAGTTACGTCACATTTTTTTTACCGGCACGGCGGTCTTGAGAGGAGCTTCCGGTTTGTGGTGTTTCTATATTTTTTTCCCCTCCTTTGAGCGGCCGTCAGTCGTGGCCGCTGGCGGCGGTGGTGATGATGGAGGCGGCGGCAGGAGGTCCTGGGGAGCGCTGGGCGCCGGTGGGCGCGGTCGCCGAGGCTGAAGTCGGGGAGGAGGACGTCGTAGGGGAAGAGGCCGAGCCGGGGTCCCCTCGGTCGCTGCGGGCGGAGCGGCGCCGCCTCCACTCGGCGCTCTTGGCTCTGGCCTCCCATTTCGCCCAAGTCCAGTTCCGGCTCCGGCAAGTGGCGCGGGCCGGGCCGGCTCAGCAGCAGCGCCTCCTCCGCGAGCTGGAGGAGTTCGCCTTCCGCGGCTGCCCAGGCTCCGGCTTCGGCTTCGCTGCGGCGGCCGTGGAGGGAGTCGCGGGCGACGCCAAGGTGAGGAGGGCGCGCCAGCCAGCGAGCAAGCGGGTGCCGCTCTTCCTGTTTCCCGACCGCCGTTTCTTAGGAACTCGGCGCTGAGACTCGAAGATGTACTGTACTCTCTTCCGTCTCTCGACTTTCAAGGGGACGTTCTCTCCCTTCCCATAATTTTTTATCTTTTGTCAAGGTTACGGAGATAATGGAGAACGAGTGGCGTCGTTTGGACGTGTTGAACATGTGTTAAACATGTAGGAAGGCTGCAGCCATTGCTCTTCTGCTCGCCAGGCAGATTATACTGTAATCGTAATCATCATCATCATTTTAGAATTGCAGAGCAGGAAGGGACCCTATGGATCATTGAGTCTAACCCCTGTCAAGGAGGCACAATGGGGAATTGAACTGCCAGCCTCTGACACATCTGTCAGAGACCTAAACCACTGAAGGCAGGGGAGCTTCGGTAGTTGAAGGTGGACTGTTGAGTTAGAGTCTACCTTTTGAGTAGATATAGTTTTGCTATCTGAGGAAAGCCACCTGGGGATGAAAACTGCAGTAAGAATAGTAACTGTGGTAGTGTTTCATTTATCTCATGTTTTTGTTGCAAAAGCTGGGTAAATATCGCAAATGGCATCATTGGTGGATTTATGCTTCCATTTGGTATCTTTGTAGTCGAAATAAAGCAAGTGCCAAAAGGGAGATTAAGGAAATTTTCTTACTTCATGTGACTGGAAGGGAAAGAGTGTAGAGAAGACCTCAGGAGTTACCAAAAAAACCTTTGTATTAGAGTGCCTTTGATAAGGGTGGCATTTGCTGTTGCATCTAAAGATGCAGCAACACTGGTAAAAATATGGGAAATATTAGTTTGGGGCAGACTAGTTTGCTTTTGTTGTTGTTGATCACACAATTCAAACAGAAATAAGAATCAGCCTGGAATCACACACATACCTAACCATAGTTTTTCTCTCTGCTGTGGGATCAACTTGCATTGATTCAGGTGTATGATCACTGGAGCCAATGCAGAAAGGTTACTGTGACCATACACAGTAACAGTAAAATAATTTGGCAAAAAAAATTTTTTTAAACAGCTACAGGTGAAACAAAGCCTCTTGAAAGTCTTGACAGAACTTACTTTCTTTTCTTTTTTTGGTGGCTAAGGGTGAGAAAGCCTTTTTCCCCACAGCTTAGAAACTGCTTGCAAAACTAGCAAGACTTTTTAAAAACAGTCTTGCTGACCTTGCAAGCAGTTTCTAAGCAGTTCCTTAGCTGCCAAAAAACCCCACACCACTTCTTTAAGCAAAGTTCTGTGCAAACTGTATTTTTAGCAAATGTGTGCAACAGTACAATTCTGTGCATGACAATTCAGAAGTAAGCAAAACTGAGCTCTGTGGTAATAAGTGCATGTTTAATCACTTTTAAAAACATACACTATTAATTTTATGTGTATAAAAATATCTCAAAATGATTTCCAGTTCCAAGAACCATTTGCTCCGGAACATGGTCAGAATCCTCTTATGTTGATGTAGCACAAAGTGTAACTTTGAAGCTATTTGCCCCAAGCTAACAAATCACTGTAGATATTATCAGTTGCATAGTGAGTTGTATGACTCATTGTACACCTGATAATGCCTGTGTTGACTTCTTAACCTGAGCCATTATGCCATTTTTGTAGCTGTGTAAGAGAATTTTCACCATTATATTAAAATAGCATATGCAGAGATTGCACTTGAGAGTGGAGAGGAGCAAGTTGTATTGTACACATCCATTAATTTTAGTATGTACAGACAGCTTTGTACACGTGTGTAAGTTTTCACTCCTGAGTAATGCTTGCATTTCTGGCATACATAGCTCCATACACTCTTATCTCAGATTATAAGGTTTGCCATAAAAAATAGGTTTGGCTGTCTGAACTGAACAGGATATGGCTGTTCCTGAGCCATAGCTTGAAGTCAGGAGAGGGCAAATTCTCCAGGTGATGTCGAACAGCAATTGGCTAGAGCTCATAACATTTGAGGGGGTGTAGTCTACCCCCTTTGCTCTAGAATAGCCTTCCAACATTTATTTATTTATTTATTTATTTATTGGACTTATATACCGCCCCATTGAAGTCAGGAGAGGGCAAATTCTCCAGGTGATGTCGAACAGCAATTGGCTAGAGCTGATAACATTTGAGGGGGTGTAATCTACCCCCTTTGCTGTAGAATAGCCTTCCAACATTGTTCTGTTCAGGTGCTTTCAACTACATCTTCCATCATTTCTGGACATTAGATGTGGTGTCTGTAATTGACTGGAGTTGCAGTCTAAAAATTTAAAGAAATTTAGAGATAGGAAGGCTGCTCTATAGGAATGTTGCAGTTTATTTGCTGACTGTGGACAAACGTCTTTGGAGCTTTACTTTCATTTCCAAATATGAGAAATCAAATGTTTTTTTCCTTGTTCCAGAGTGAGCATGAGAAACAAGAACAACTGGAGGCACGGAAGGAGAAGCAGCGAGAGCTTATCCTACAGCTCAAGGCTCAGCTAGATGATTTGGAAACATTTGCCTATCAGGAAGGCAGCTATGATGCACTGCCCCAGTCCATGGTCATGGAGAGACAGCAGGTGAGGCCTGCTGAGGTTCAGACAAATTTAATCCTGATACATGTGTCTGGGCACCATTTTAATTGAGCCAGTTGATGTTTAGCCCTTTGGAGAGAGAATTCCTCAAACTGGGGAGCAAAACAGACTCCAACCTATTTCCTATGTGGCTTTGCAGGTGCTTATTGAAGAACTGATCAAGAAGCTGGACATGAATTTGAGTGAGGACGTTGCTTCACTGTCCCCAGAAGAATTGCGTCATCAGGTGGATGCTGCTGTGGCCCAGATTGTCAACCCAGTACGTGTGAAGGAACAGCTGGTGGAACAACTGAAAACCCAGATCCGGGATCTTGAGATGTTTATCAGTTTTATACAGGGTCAGTAAGGACATTTGTCTAGCATATTGAGAGCTCTTATCTTGTATAAATGAGGGCAGGACCTGGGAAATCTAGAAGTGTGTGGAATATATACAGACAACCTGAAGACCTTAAAATGAAGTGGCAAATTGGTAGTGAACTATGATGCTGAAGCTATGTAAATGTTACTTTAATTTAATGAAATGTTTACTCTTTCTTGCTTTGAGATTATGGTAAAACAGTGGTTTCCAAGCTTGAGTCCCCAGACATTCTTGGACTGCAACTCTCAGAAGCCTTCGTCACTAGCTGTGGCAGCAAGGGCTTCTGGGAGTTGCTATTCAAGGCTATCTGGGGACTCAAGGTAGGGAACTGCTGCGGTAAAAGGAACAAAGGAACGAATGAAATGTTTACTCTTTCTTGCTTTGAGATTATGGTAAAACAGTGGTTTCCAAGCTTGAGTCCCCAGACATTCTTGGACTGCAACTCTCAGAAGCCTTCGTCACTAGCTGTGGCAGCAAGGGCTTCTGGGAGTTGCTATTCAAGGCTATCTGGGGACTCAAGGTAGGGAACTGCTGCGGTAAAAGGAACAAAGGAACGGTTTAGTAAATCTGGGGACCCAAGGTAGGGAACTGCTGCGGTAAAAGGAGCATGAATATTGTTTAGTAAGTTGCATTTACTAAGCTGCCAAGAGGTAGCTTTGGCAGTCTTATCAGATGAGAAATAACGATTTTTTTGGCACCTTGGAGATTAACATTTAGTATGGAAATCAGACAAAATCCAAAGAAACAAAACAGGACAAAAACATGGAATATCTTAAAGAGTATTATATTTTAATGTGGGTTTTTGTAGACAAGTCTACTTCGTCAGACATATGGAAAAAATGAAATACCAAATTCACAAGTAAAACATTCTAAGTCCCACCTGCACTAATTTATGGCCTATGTTTGGTGTTAAATTCTATTGTAAATATTCCTGCAGATACTGTAATCCTACAGGTGTGGGGGTGGGTTGGTGAAAACTCAGGAAAAGATGTATCAGTAAAAAAAACTCAAGGTGGGGAAGAAGGGGGAGAGAAATAAATGGAAAAGATGTATCAGTAAAAAAAACTCAATGTGGGGAAGAAGGGGAGAGAAGTAAATATAAAAGTAAAGGAAGATAGCAGATGAACCGTGGGTGTTAATACAAGGAATATTTACACTTTAGACCGTGCTTTCACAGACTGGAATCTCTTTCATTAGACTTATTAGGTTTTAGCATTAATTGGCAAGTGTATTAGGTTCTGTAGTCATTTGTCTGAGAAGAAATTGGGACGGAGCTAACATCTGAGGTTGTTGCAGGATCTAATATCTGTGTTTGTGCTTCCTTTATGTGGCAAATTGCTGTTTCGGGAGAGTATCAGCAAGGACATGCCTGTCGCGAAGACTTATAAGATAGCAGTATCATAGATCATGATACTATATAGATTGTTGGAGCTTGGGAATGCTTTTAATTGAACAATTGCAAAACCCAGAAACGCCAGATACAACATCAAGGGTTCATTTATTTGCATATCTTTAATATAATGTATGCTTTCAACTGCAGTAATACATTCTCTATAGAGCAAAGAGCCCTGCCCCTAGTTTACAGGAAAAAGAAAAGATGTAAACCCGATACCACAAAAACTACTGGAAAACTTTACAGCTGTAGTTCACTGTTACTGAAACTAATATTCTCATTGTTGAATGAAGTCTTTCAAAGGGGAAACACCATGCTGTAGTAAAAGTTTTAAGCTGATGTTCTGTAGCTTCTTTCTGTTCATTGTACAGGAAATTTTGGTAGATGCCATGGCTAATTGATGATGTGCTGGATACATAACCAGCCACGTGTTTCATACCTTGTCATCTAGCTGTGTCCATGGCCATGATTTCCCTTCTGTGCACAGTTAAAAAGAACAGTATGCTGACCTTAACCTTTAATATTAAATATCTCAAAACCTTTTACATATTGTTTTAACAAAAGAATTTCTCAACTATTGGTTCATATGACCTTTACCATAATAGGGCTTCCTGCATTCCACCAGATGCCTCCATTTATAGATAGCAAGAGTAATTTCCTAGTAAAAAGCAGATGGCTTCACTAGGCTTAGGGATCCTTTGGTGTGCGAGGAAAGCACAGAAGTAAGGCATGTACAGGTAAAAAGCTGTTTGGCCTTATTTATGTGCAAACAGCAAGGGTATAGTGCTGAGAAAGTGTTATTACTGGGATGGCAGTGTGTGTCCAGACAACATTGTGTGTGTGTGTGTCTGTGTCTGTGTCTGTGTCTGTGTCTGTGTCTGTGTCTGTGTCTCTCTCTCTCTCTCTCTCTCTCTCTCTCAAGATTTTATAATGGTTGGTCAAAATAATCATCTTCTGGCTTTTAGAAGAAATCAGTAGTCCTGGGAAACAAGACGATGGGCATTGCGACTGTTCAGCGGGAAGTGGCACCTGCAAGCCAAACACCCAACAGCCCCACAGAAGTAACAGAGGTGAGCAGCTAGATGTCCTTTATGTAGCTTTGTCCTTAATCAACAAAGACCTTCGAAAATTGTTTTGTTATACATTATTATTATTATGGCCTTTCATCAAAAATTGATTCTAGGAGGGGATCACAATAGTGCCAAAACAAAAAAAAATCCTTTAACACTTATTAAAGACTAGGTGAATAAAAAGGTGTGTGTCACCTTTTGCCTATCACATGGGAATTAGAGAGTCATTGAAAGATAAGGATTTGAAAGTGTTTAGGGAGAAAAGGGGGCTGCAGTATGCAATCCTGTTGTGTGACTGGTGCATCTCTTAATTGCCGCTCTCCAAAACTATACACATAATTTGTCACTATAATTTGCCAGGCACATTGAAGAGAAAGTCTGTCATATTTGGTTGGAACTGGACTCCACAAATATCATGTCTGGGAGGTGGTCACCAGAGCATCATCTAGTCATGCTTCTAGCAGTCAAATTCAGTTATTATGGCCCGATCATATGGAGAAGACACTATTCCATTCCCCTCATATAAGCTTAACCCATCTTGGTTAATAACATCTATCAGAAGCAAATTTAAGGGGGTAGCTCCAGAGAGTAGTAAATGTTTCATTATTTCAGGTGGTAGTGCCTGCTCCCTTGGAAAAGGTGGTAGTGCATAGGCCTTTTGGATTTCTTGAACTTCAGCTCCAAGAACTCACACGAAATTCTCACAGCCAGAATTCTTGGGACTTTAGTTAAGTCCTCACATGAGTTTTCAGTTATATACTAGGAGGGAGCAGCTGTTGTGTTCCTGTGAAGAAAACAGAAGAAATACCGTATTTCCTGTGTATAAGATGCCCCCATGTATAAGACGCTCTCCACTTTTATAATCCAAAATTAAGAAATCTAAATGGGGCTTAGCAAGTATACTTAGCAAGTATAGTTGTTTTTGTTCTCTCCTCAGCTTACTTCCGTGTATAAGACAACCCTCAATTTTCAGTCTAAAGGTTTTAGACAAAAGTATAGTCTTATACACGGAAAAATACAGTAAATAGGAGTTTCTAAACTCTGTGGAAACTGCAACGGGCTGGCAGTCTCTCTGCCCACACAGAGTGCCTGTCCAAAAACTATCCGTCCTCTAATCTCTCAAATCAACAGGCATCATGACCAGTGGTGCATCTTCTCCTGAAGAGGACATCCCTAGCCCAAAGGTATGTGAGAACTGATGCTCGGTCACAAATATCTCCTTTTTTGGGCATGGCTCTTGAGCATGTGGTGACTGGGCAATTTCAGATGTTGTCTGAGGAAACAGGTTATCTGGACCCATTTCTGCCTGTTTTCAGGCCAGAGTTCGGCACTAAAGCAGTCTTTATCACCCTAACTGATTATCTGTTCCTGAGTAAGGGCATAGAGGGGCAGCACTGTTGATTCTCCTAGATCTCTTGGTGGCTTTTGAGTCTAAAGATCATGGTATCCTCTTGGACCGTCCCTGTATAATGGGAATAAGAGGCATAGTGTTGCAGTAGTTCTATTCATACCTGTAAGACCAATTCCAGAAATTTGTATTGGAGGCATTTTTGTTCAGCCCCGTGGTGATTGAGCTGTGGAATGCCGCAGGAATCCATTCTGTCCCCATTCTGTTCAATACCTACTGTATATGAAGCTGCTGCTAGGAGAAATCATTTAAGGTTTTGGTGGTGGGTGGGTGCCATCATTATAAGGATGAAACCTACCCCAGCTTCTCCTTGCCAACAGAATTGGCTGAGGCTATGCACAGTCTAGAGTTGCTGTTAGGGGGCTGGATGAAGGCCAGTAAACTGAGGCTGAATCCCAACAAGATGTTGGCTCTGAGGCTTGGTGATTCCCATGTCTGGGAGTTAAGTAGACAACCTGTTTTGGATGGAGTGGCACTCCGTCTGAAGGAGCAGGTAGGTAGCTTGGAGGTAATCCTTGAGCCATTTTTGTCACTCAAGCCTCTAGTGAGCATAATAATCTGGAGTACCTGGACTTGTCTTTAGTTGGTCTGTCAGCTATAACTATTCTTGAACAGGGACAATCAAGCTATTGTGGTTTGTGTACTGTAACTTCCCAGTTAGACTACTGGGATGTACTTTACATGAGGCTGTCCTTGAAGACAACATGGACGCTACACGTGCAATGTGCAGCAGCTGCACTGCTGCAGGAACAACTATAAAAGCACATAAGACATCAGCTATGAAAGAATTGCACTAGCTGCCAGTACTCTTCCAGTCTGAGTTCAAGGTGTTGATGATCTATAAAGCCCTAAATAGCTTGAGGGAACTCCTCTCCCTATATACACCTGCCTGGTCACTAAGTTCTTTGGGGGGGGGGCTCCTCTATGTCCTACCCTGGAGAATGAGCTATTACATGCAGTCATGGGGAGGGCTTTCTCAACTATAGCACTTCAGTTATGGAACACTTTTCCCTTAGGAGTTTGACTAGTGCTGACAATAACCTCATTTTAATGCCAAATTTATTCACCAAAGTCTTCAGGGATTAAGAATCATGACATTATTAAGTTGTCAAGGCTTCTCTGTTGTCGTTTTTAATTTATGTAGTTTTTAATGTTTTAAATGACTTAGAGTGGTCCATGTGTGATTTACCAAGTCCAAGTTTATTGTATTAGCTAAAAGCCGTCACAATTGTTTAAATACAGAAATGGTTAAATACAGTAAAAACATGATACAAGCCGTCACTATTGTTTAAAATACAGAAATGGTCAGATAAAATCATTCTAAAATCAAAGACATGTAAAATTTACCAGTCTAGTCCACAGATGGATTTTCTTAATAAAGCAGGATTCAGAATCATTCTAGAGAGACTTCTCTGCTAAGGAACATCTCTTTTTTTTCCATGCAGTAAACAGTGAAGAAGCCCAGAGGATGCGGGAGACGGGGCTGCACCTCATGCACCGAATGCTTGCTGTGCTACAGATTTTTGCTGTGAGCCAGTTTGGTTGTGCAACAGGACAAATTCCACAACATTTATGGCAGAAGGACCATTCTGACAGGGACTATTCACTTTTAGTGAACAAATTAGAGATGGCTGTAGCCCATGTGAGACAGCTGGCCCAGAAGTATCAGCTACAAGAGCCAGAACATGTCATTAGCTACTCAGGTGTCCATGATACCTCCTTTGGAGGACGAGATGAGCTCACGTTGGCTGTGCGTAAGGAGTTGACAGTTGCAGTGCGGGACCTTCTGGCCCATGGGCTCTATACTCCGTCGCCTGGGATGAGTTTGGTCCTAGCCCCTATTGCCTGTTTATTGCCTGTGTTGAGTTCCTCCCCTCAGGCCATGCACCCATGGGAGCTTTTTGTGAAGTATTACAATTCCAAAAATGGGCGTGCCTTTGTAGAATCACCGGCTCGCAAACTTTCTCAGTCTTTTTCCCTCCCAGTGATGGGTGGGGCACCTGCCACCCCAAAGCAGAGCCTACTCTCGGCAATCCACACAGTCCTGTCAGAGCATGACCCCTTCAAGCGTAGTGCAGACTCGGAATTGAAGGCTCTTGTGTGCTTGGCTCTCAACGAGCAGCGACTGGTCTCCTGGCTCAACCTCATCTGCAAGTCGGGGGCTCTGATCCAAGCCCACTACCAGCCCTGGAGTTACATGGCCCAGACAGGTTTTGAGGGGGCCCTCAATATCCTTAGCCGTCTCAGTAACCTACGCTTTCACCTACCTGTGGACCTGGCTGTGCGGCAGTTGAAGAACATCAAGGATGCCTTTTGAGTGAATAGGGCAGGTGGAATCCAACCTATACCACTTTTCATGCGTGGGAGAACTTACTGCTAAATCCAAGAGGTGACTTCCATATGTTCACATGGGGGATAATGCTGCTAGCAATCTTCTGTTGTTGAACTTCTGGCTACTTCCATTATGTGCACAACACTACATACAGCTCCTGCTAAAAACAGGGTCTTTGTAGCTGCTGTTTTGTTCTGGGGAAGAGGTCATCATATTTTTCTTATAATGAGGCCACAAGACAAACTTGGCAGCAGGGCAGGAGGTCATCTCTCCTACCAATGGAAGCCTCTGAGTTGTTGATTAAAAAAAACTATCCGTGCCTCAAATCCCATGCTGTTGTAATCATGTCTGAACCATGTTGGTTGCTGTTTGACATCACTGTCTAAGAATTCTGATTTCTGAGGCATGTTGTGAGAAACATCACCCCAGATCTGTAGATTCAAATTTAAAAGCACTGGCAGAATTTCCAAAATCAGCATGGTCCTTTCCTATGGTGGTCACCTTAAGCTATTTGACACGTTGCAGGGCCAAAAACCTGCAGGGAATTTTCCAGTCAGATTGTTATATGCTAGAACAGAATTTTGCATACACTTTTATGGCAACAAATGGATCTCACATGTGCCCGTTACTGAGCTGGCAGGCTTGCAAGGTGGTGAAAGATGAAAGAATGGACTCAAACGTAATCAGTCACCATGGGGGAAAAAAGAATGTCTTGTTAGACTTTCAGGAATTAGGACATATTGGCCAGAATTCTGTTGCATTTTACCCAGTGTGAAAGGGCAGCTATCCACGAGCATTTCACTGTTTTCTGGCTGTTGCTAGAAAGATAGTTAGCATTGCTTGTAGTTATTTTCTATCATGTAATGGAAGATTTTGGGCATTATGGCTTTCTATATTGAGTATGGGGGGGGGAGTGTTTTTGCCTGGAGCAGGAGGGTTTGTTTTATGATTTGATAAAACGCACCTATCTTGCTGTGTGAAAGGATGGTGGATAGAGGTGACAGGTTTATACCTTTAATGAAAAACATTTTAGCTTGCCTGTTTGAATAGCAGTTGTAACTGCATCTTTGAAGGAACAAGCAGTTTGGTGCTGGCACAAAAAGTAAGTTTCCCTGTTTTTGCATAGCCAGCCCTAAGCAAGCTGTTTTTGGAATTAGAGGTGCATGACCTTGAACCTGTTGATCCTCAGACTAGCTTTCTGGAAGTAGCAAGGCTTGGCTGGAATATTTGAGCTGTTTTGCTTCAGTGGAGGAGAATAGTGGCAGAGGATTAAGTGTAAAATACTGAGATTAGGGGAGCGATATCTGTTCAGGGCCTACTTGTCCCTTAGTGCCCTGCTGATAGGCTCAGCACACAGCATTTGTGAAATTCCTTATCCCAAATAGGTGGTATCTGTAATGCTACGTTGTATTCCTTAGCAGTAGAGACTCCAACTTACATGAGAAAAGTTGTATTCTGGAAAATTGTAGGTGGTATCTGTAATGCTACGTTGTATTACTTAGGAGTAGAGACTCCAACTTACATGGGGACTCTCCACATGAGAAAAATTGTATTCTGGAAAATTAGTGTTTTTGCCTGTTTGGACAGCTTGCATACTACCTTTCCTTTTCAGACTCAGCAGTCGTCATGAGGAGAAAAAGTTACCATAGAGGGTGTAGGGTAGGCACTTCCTTCCTTATATGCTGAGAAAACTATATTCTAGAGCCTGAATGGAGCTGTTGTATTGGTGAGATTTGAGACGCTGAAGGCATCAATACCATCTTCAAAACAAAATTCAGTAACAGTTTGGTCACAGAACACAGAGAAAAAGTTGAATGGCAAACTGCTAAGTGTGCTAGGTAAAGTCTGTGTATTTCTGCATATTAAGTGGCCTGTGCTCTGTGTGTGTGTGTGTGTGTGTGTGTGTGTAAATTATGCCAATGAAACACCTCTGTTTTAACAAACATCTACTCCTGCTTTTACCCCCTTAATTTATGTGTTGGATGCACTTTAGAAAATGATGCCCTGGCTCTTTAGGGTTTTTTTAAATGTTTCTTATGCTTTACTTAAGTTCAGTGCAAGAGGAGGAATGTATTGGTCAAGAATTGTATCTGTTGCTAGTGGTAATAAATTCAGTCTGGTATCTTGTCTTTCTTTTTTCTTTTTTGTTTTCACAAAATAAGCTATACTCCTTGTGCTCCTTTGTCTTTATCTCTTGTACAGCATGTATTTCCAATACCTAAAAAAGCCATCTGACTTTGTGCAGAATACAACTTAATTTGCTGCATTTCTTTTGGGAACATACAACAAAATCTCACAAATGCTGTGGTAAGGAAGAATTTTATGGTCTTGTGTGGATGAGTTTTCAGTGTGCTTTTCATTATGGGATTGTTCTACACAGGTCATGTCACTAGCAGCAGGAACTGTTTACCTTACATCACTTTGTCAGTGACTCCCAAAATGTCAAAAGAGAAGGTAACATTAGAAGATCACTATTTTGCACTAGTCCTTTGTGAAACTTAAAAGTAGTAGAAAACAACAACATGCAGCTTTGTTCAAATAACTGTAGTTACCAAAACACACATACACTAGATGCCAAGGTGAAAAAATGGGTTTAAAAATAGACGTAGGGTTTATGCAAGAGGCTAGAGAGGTGTCAACTGAGACTGATCAATTACTGCCACCGTTACAGCAGAGAACTCAGCTGTGCCAGAAGTTGATACTGTTTTTCATGGTATGTACTTCGCAAAGGTAATGGCTTGCAGAAGTAAAAACAAAACCCAAACCAAAGAAGGGGACATAAAAGTAGCCTAGTACTCAGTGGCAAGTGGAATGCTCATTTTGGGGGGAGAGGAAGGGAAAACACTGAAGAGAGGTGGCATGAATATGATGCTGTCCACGTTGACATTTTGTTATGGGCTCTACTTGTTAAGTGACTAGTTACTAACTTTCTGAAAGTAAAAGTGTTTGCAGCACCTATTTATAGATGTTCTGTTAAACCTATATGATTAAAATAATACCTTCTCTCTTTAGTTTTTATACAGATTAAGTTTTAAGAAAAATCTATGATTTCAAAACTCTGATTTTCAAGATTGTTTATCACCACAGTTTTGTTGTTGCTGTTTCAATTTATATACCGCCCCATTGTGTTAGAGCACTCTCTAGGTGATTTAAAACAGAAATATGTAAACAACAACTTGCCTCCCAGCAAACTGAGTACTCATTTTACAGACCTTGGAAGGATTAATCAAACTTGAGCCAGTTGCCTCAACCCATCTGAATCAAACTGGTTGTGAGCAGAGGCTTGACTGCAGTACTGCAGTTTAACCACTGCATCACGGGGCTCTCTCTTTGCCATGTTTTTAAATGTTTTAACATTTTAAATGTTTTTAATATTTAAAAATAAGAGTCACTCTGATGGCTTTTTCTGAGCAAAATACACCTAGGGAAAAAACATTGATAAATAAATGAGGCAGGCTTTTGCATAGATATAAATGTATAGCATTAATGTACAGTTTTGTATGTATTTTGTGACAACATGACAATAGTTTCTTTTGTTTGTGAATGCTGGATTTAGCTATTCAGTGCAATCTACACACAGTTTATGCAGCCAAAGACTGGAGATCATCAGGCCATCAGGCAAAATAGCCAAATTTGCATAATTTGATTCCATTGACTTCCTTTGCCCAATCCAACACTTAAAATTAACTCCATGATGTGCAATATCTATTTGTAATTCTTTGTTTTCTATCAAAAAGCCCATGTACTCAAACTGGATGGGTGCCATTTACAGTTTGCTGTGGGAAACATACCTTTTTAAGACAGAGCCCCTAATGTTTCTCACTTCCCAGCCTTCAGTGAATCTGTGTGTGCCATTGGTTCAAACATAACATTGCACACCTGTTAAAACTACTGTTTATATTTGAAGCTGCATTTTTATGTGTATCTGCATACTTTTTTTGTTGGCCTACAAATATATTACCTCAGTATGGAATTGGGATCGCACTGATTCTTTACATATTGTTTTAATGTCTGAATCCTAGATTGACAGCACAATCAAGGGGCTGTAGTGCAAAATGTGAAACAACAAAATAGGGGTTACTTTGGGTTTCTGTACAAATATCTCACAGACAAAAATGCATTGCATTTGATGCAAATAGCAATTGGAAATGGCCTTCTAACTTTGGGGAAAAGGAGATGGCAGGTTTATCACATATCAGCCTTGCAAACTGTTTTGGAGTATTTTAGGAAAATGTGTTGTATGCTTATTGGTTGTGAGCAGAGGCTTGACTGCAGTACTGCAGTTTAACCACTGCATCACGGGGCTCTCTCTTTGCAATGTTTTTAAATGTTTTAACATTTTAAATGTTTTTAAATGTTTTTAATATTTAAAAGTAAGAGTCACTCTGATGGCTTTTTCTGAGCAAAATACACCTAGAAAAAAAACACTGATAAATAAATGAGGCAGGCTTTTGCATAGACATAAATGTATGGCATTAACGTACAGTTTTGTATGTATTTTGTGCAACATGACAATAGTTTCTTTTGTTTGTGAATGCTGGATTTAGCTATTCAGTGCAATCTACACACAGTTTATGCAGCCAAAGACTGGAGATCATCAGGCCATCAGGCAAAATAGCCAAATTTGCATAATTTGATTCCATTGACTTCCTTTGCCCAATCCAACACTTAAAATTAACTCCATGATGTGCAATATCTATTTGTAATTCTTTGTTTTCTATCAAAAAGCCCACGTGCTCAAACTGGATAGGTGGCATTTAGCGTTTGCTGTGGGAAACTTACCTTTTTAAGACAGAGCCCCTAACGTTTCTCACTTCCCAGCCTTCCGTGAGTCTGTGTGTGCCATTGGTTCAAACATAACATTGCATCACCTATTAAAACTACTGTTTATATTTGAAGCTGTGCATTTTATGTATATCTGCATACTTTTTTTGTTGGCCTACAAATATATTACCTCAGTATGGAATTGGGATCGCACTGATTGTTTACATATTGTTTTAATGCCTGAATCCTAGATTGACAGCACAATCAAGGGGCTGTAGTGCAAAATGTGAAACAACAAAATAGGGGTTACTTTGGGTTTCTGTACAAATATCTCACAGACAAAAATGCATTGCATTTGATGCAAATAGCAATTGGAAATGGCCTTCTAACTTTGGGGAAAAGGACATGGCAGGTTTATCACATACCAGCCTTGCAAACTGTTTTGGAGTATTTTTGGAAAATGTATGCTTATGTGTCACAATGAACCACTATGAATTGTATTTTTTATGCTGTTTCCTGACCTAACAGAAGAAGATATTAGTTAAACTGGCTATTTAGTTTCCCATTGTGATTTGTTTCTTCTGGTGGGTGTATTCGGATTTGGGCTGTAATGACGTGTTTCATACACTTCCCTAGTGTGTGTCATCAAAAATGGGAAGGTACACTCTCTTCGTGAGTAGGTCCTCATGTTTACTTCCAGTCTGCTGAGTGTCTCCCCCATTCCACCGTTGGAGCCTTGCCTTCATTGTACTACAGTTAAATCCTATTTTTTGTTAATCTTCGTACACTTGTACATTTCTAATCTGTCTTTATTCTCACTCCTTGCCAATTATTGTGCACGCTGTCATGTTGGTAACATGTTTTATGAGGCACTGGTTAAAGCCTTCAGTGCCAGATTCTGGCTTCATGATATCTAACTCACTGCAAGCCTTCCCTGATGCTAATAATGATATGACAACTAGGGAGCATAGTATTACAATGAATTATCAAAAATTCTCTTGCTTCCTTCTCAAACTAGCAGTAGCATAAAGAAGAGAGCATGATGTTGTGGCTCTGGAAGCCACAGGTATAGCTTTGTTTGCAGAATTCCTTAGTCAGTGTGCCCATATGGAAGGAGCAGACAATCATCACAACAAGGTGAAGTGAGTTGTGAGACCAAAGAATTATAGGAAGAGGAAGATTAATGGGGATGCAATTTACAGTAGTAGAAACTACAAGGCAAAGAAATTAGCCAACATTAAGAAGTTGTAACGGTCAGCATCCCTCACAAATGCAGCACTCAGTTTCATCCAAATGTCTAGGACTGCATAACTTGGCATTCCGCCATATATTATTTTTAAATAAGAAATGGAACAGCCACATACAACATAAGATTTCTAACAGAACAGTTGAGTATGGTTGCTTCTATCCGTGTGTGTACAGGAAGAGTTAGCTGTTGCCCAAACATGAAATTAAATTCTGGCTTTCTCAAAATTTGGAAATGTTGCTTTTCTGGCCAGGAATTTCCAGTCCCATCAACCAGCGGGCAGAGGCTTTTTACATAATTTTATTTAAAACAAAGGATGACTGTCTTTTTCGTTGGATACAGGCAGAGTTTGGAAGCTTTACCACTCTTACCCCCCAACTCCCAGAATCCCCTGCCCACATAATCGCTATACTGTATTGGCTGGGGAAGTTTGGAGCTGCAGTGTCCAGGTAACCTTTCGAGGCTTTGAGATTTCTCCATTGAGTATTTGGGGGAGGGAGAGGTTGAGGGAAAATGTCGTATACTGTACAGTACTGTAGTCCTCCCAAAAAACAAGAGCGCGAATGTCTATACAGTATTGATATAGGGCTATTAATGCCTTCAGCAGTACGCATGCGCAGTCCGGGCCGGCAGGCCGGGTGAAAGGTAAGCGGAAGGAGCCTGTCTTTCCTTTTCCGGTCTGGGCGCCATAGACGTTGAGGCTCCGGTAAGTTTTTGAGGGAAAGGGGAGCGCAGTTTATCCGTTGCCATCCTCTCAAGCCGGCTGGAAAGCCAGCTTGGGAAAGAGGCCAGCGGGTAGGTGTATTTCGGGTGTTCTGGGATGGGAGGTGTGGCAGCGACGGTAATGGCGCAGTGCCGCTGGAGAAGCGGCGGGCCATCTCGTTCCTTTGGGACGGGGCTGTTTCTGCACGAAATGGAAATTAAAAAAACGACTTCTCTCAGGGGTCGTGAGGGAGGAAGGGGCGCTTTTCCTCGTCTTTCTCCTTCCTTTTCCTCCCTGTCCTGGAGGCGGGGGCGTTTTGGAAAGCTGGGACGGGGGGAAAGCCCTTCGCCCCATCTGGGCCCTCTTAAAATACAGAAGCGGGTGCAGAGATCGTGTGGATCCTCGTATCCTGGGTCGCCTCTTACTTGTCTTCTTTGGTTTGGGGAAAGATGGGTTCGAGACTAGTTGCCACAGTTGGGGATGCCCTTCATAACATTTTTTTCTAACATTTATTTTCTGCTCTTCCTTTTTTTGAGTGCAGTCCTCCCCACTTTATTCCTACAACCAGCCTATAACAAGTTATCAGTTATGTCAGACTGAGAGAAAGTGACTGATGGATCACATGGCAAACTTAGTGAAAAGTACAGTCTGGATTTCCCAAAATTCTAGCCTTAAAATCACCATTTTGCTACACCACCTCCAAATCAGAACATTAATTTTTTTGTGTTCCTTTGAGGTCTTAGCTGCTGTTGCTGTGAGATGGAAGCCTCTTCAGATTGTAGGGACATATTGATCTCAGAACTTGGGAAAATATTTGTTGGGCTAATACTCCCAAAGCACTGCTTGGGGATTCTGATAGTTGCTTCTTTTTAAATATAGCTTCCCCAAGTACTTGTTATACATACCCATAACATTTCTGGGAGTTGTAGTCCTAAAAACATAATTTTCCCAAATACTTATACATGCCCCAGGTATAGGTAAACTTACTCTTTGAAGCAGAAGAATGCTACTTTTTTGGGGGGGGCTGTGATAATATGTTTAAGTGGCAAATTTTTCTTCTTTTCAGAGATGGGCAAGTTTATGAAACCTGGGAAGGTGGTTCTTGTGCTGGCTGGACGTTACTCTGGCCGTAAAGCAGTTATTGTCAAGGTGAGATGTTGTGCATCATGGAAAGAATGCTTTTGGTGTAGATGGGCAAGACATCACTGGTAAAGGAAGAGGGTCTTTTCCCTGCTGATTGATGTGATATTAATGTAGTAGTAATTTGCTTTATATTTTGAATTCAGAGAAGTGAAAAACATCTGACATTATATTCTGGGTTATATTTTATTTGTTTGAGGTAGTTATCACTTAATTGTAGTTGAAGCTTTTAAGAACAGATCAAACCAAAATACTTGCCAGCTAATAAAACAGACAAATTCAAAAAACTTCAGGACAATATATAAATATCAGCAGTTTAGAGATTTATGTGTCAAACTAAGCACTTGGGATTGTCTTTTGAAATAATGCTCTTGTCTTTATTTGGGTTGGTTTTATGCTGTGTCTTTTAAAGAGCAATCCATTAAATTCAGTATGAATTCAGGCATGTCTGAATTAAGTCCCAGTTGACTTCAAGGGGCTACTTAATGTTCCATACAGTCTTAATCTAATCTGTTTTTTTAGCTTCTTATGTTTTGCAGTTCCAGAATATATTTAAAATGAATAGTTCAGATGCTTCACAGTAAACAGTCCAGGAATTTGGTTTATAATTTGCAGTGGTTATACAGTCAGTATGAAATGGTCTTTGATGATACCATGAGTGAAATATGGATCTTTACTTTATCCATCATTCCTAAAAATAAACTTTATGGACAAATGCTGACACAATTGGACTCAAAATGGGTGGTAATAAGGGAATTATAGATAAAAAATGGGTTGGGAAAACAACGGCCATAGTCCTCTTGCCTAGTTATAGTAGCATAATGTTTAGAAGTGAATTGCTGCTAAGAAATTTTTGTAGACATGTGCTTCATACTGAGTTTTGCAACTCAATGTGCAGTGGGTGCTATCTAAGGATATTTTTCAATTGATCTCCAAAATTAAGCCTTTAGCTACACAAAAGGATTCTGGGTAGTAAGTCGAAACAGGTTACTCTAGACTTTTGATTTAATTGGTCAGCCTTTCAGTTTGGCCTTAAAAATTTTGTTAGCACAAAGTCAGTATTTAATTGTCAGAATGGAAATCCAGATGATTTTTTTTAAAAAAAGTACAATCAGTAGAGTAACCACTGTTAAAAATTGCGATGTCAGACTTTCCATAGTGCCTCATCCTTTGCATACATTCATTGTTACAGAACATTGATGATGGGACTTCAGACCGACCATACAGCCATGCCCTGGTTGCTGGCATTGATCGCTACCCACGCAAGGTGACAGCCAGTATGGGCAAGAAGAAGATTGCTAAGCGCTCCAAGATCAAATCCTTTGTGAAGGTGTACAATTACAATCACTTGATGCCAACCAGGTGAGGGAAGAAGTGTGAGTAGAGTGAAAACCTGCCTCTGTTTCATCAATAAAAAGAACAGGGTTTTCCCCCCATATCTTTTTCTTATGTTTTAAATCACAGATGTGCGCGGATGGGGAAGGGGGAATCTAGACAGCTGGGCTGAAATACAGCCAGGTTGATAACTCACCTCCTCTAATTGTGTCTTTGCTCAGGTATTCTGTTGATATTCCCCTGGACAAAACCATTGTCAACAAGGATGTGTTCAGGGACCCTGCGCTGAAACGTAAAGCACGGCGAGAGGCCAAAGTGAAATTTGAAGAAAGGTGAGTCTTGAAGAAAATATATCCTTTCTTGGGTTTCTTAGTCATGCCCTGTAAGGTTAGATCTTTATTCCAATAGGCATTAAGGTGTGTGCTAATATGTGAGGCAAATTGGGCTGTGAGATAGTGGGACCTTTAACCTCAGGGTTCCTGCTTGTAAGCTGGGCATGGGATCCTCATGAAAGGAGATTCTTTTTCCTTCATCTAAAGGTGGGCTGTCTGTTTTCCTTTCTGGGTATTTATTTTGTTTTCCCTTTTCCAATGTTGGGAAAGGTACACTATTTTTGGCTGTTTAATATGAATTGCCCAGTGAATTGCTTAAATGCAATTGTAACTTTAATATTACTGGTATTGGATATTAAATGGTCTATTGGTATGTGTCATACTCCTTTACAGTTTTTATGTGAATGAACTGTAATCAAGTTGTTCTGATGATTATCAGTTGCAGTTGTTCTTGTTAGAAAGTATTTTATGAACCACTCACAGCATAACAGCCAGAATCCCCTTGATGTTTGTATAGCTTGCCACGCTAACTGACAAGGAACCAGACTACATCTTGGTTGCACAGTCGGTGTGTGAACAGGCATGTGATGCATCTGGTTAACTGAAACGCAGCCCAGTACTTTGCCAGTTATCTCCAGCAAGTTATGTAAGCTGTACAGGCACCAAAAGCATTCTGACAGCTCCTTGCAGAAAATGCAAGATGTAAATAAACTTAACGATGGGTATGCTTGGCCATCTAACCTCCTTACATTAAGGGAGCTTTTGTTTTAATTAATGTTATCACACTCATACCTTGGGAAATGAGGGTGATATTTGATGAAATAAGCAACCTTCCTGGATTTGTGTTTACTTGCGCATTTGCACATATGGATAGGAGTTGGCCACACCATGGGACAAGAAGATGTGCAGTGGAATAATTAAATGCATCAATTGCAACCTTGGAGCAGAAGGAAGAGTAGAGGAAGAGTGCAAACGTACATGGATGGATGTTATTAAAAGCTGAGTAGGATTTACATGGATTGTTGTTGTTATGTACCATCAAGTTGCCTCTGACCTGTGGTGACACTATGAATAAGTGATTTCCAAAATATCCCATCCTCAGCAGCCCTGCTCAGCTCTTGTAAACTCATGGCTGTGGTTCTTTGATGGAGTCAATCCATCTCATACTTGATCTTCCTCTTTTCCTGCTGCCCTCAACTCTTCCCAGCATTGTTTTTCCTGGGGAATTTTGCCTTCTCGGGGTATGACCATAGTATGATAGCCTCAATTACATCATTTTTACCTCTAGAGAAAGTTCAGATTTGATTTTATCTCAGATCCACTTGTTTGTCTTTCTGGCAGCTCAGGGTATCTGCAAAGCTCTCCTCCAGCACCATATTTCAAATGAGTCCATTTTTTTCCTATCGGCTTTCTTTACTGTCCAACTTTCACACCCATACTTAGTTATCAGAAATACAATAGTGTGAATGCTCTTGACCTTGGTCTCAAGTAACACATCCTTACACTTGATCTTTTCTAATGCCTTTGTTGCTGCTCTTCTGAGTCTCAGTCTTATTTCTTGGCTGCAGTCTCCCTTTGGATTGACAAATGAACCAAGGTATACAAAATATTTAACATTTGCAAGTTCTTAATTGTTGATATTAAAGTTGTGTTGCTCTTCTGAAGTCATGATTTTACTCTTAATGTTCAGTTGCAGCCTTTTTTTGTTATTTTCTCTTTCATCAGAAGTTTTTACAAATCGTTGCTGCTTTCTACCAGTAAGATGATGTCATGTGCATATCTTAAATTATTGATGTTTGCTCTACCAATTTTTGCTCCTCCTGAAGCTAGTCCAGCTTTCTGTATGTTATATTCTGTGTACAGATTGAGAAGGTGGGGCAGGGATAAAATGCATCCTTGTCTGACATCTTCGCATGTAGAAAACATTTTCTGTCCTAACAGTAATTTTTTGTCCACAAAACAGATTAAGCATCAGGAAAATCAACTGCTGAAGAACACCCATTTCTTTTAGAACAATCTATAACTTCTCATGATCCACACAGTCAAAGGCCTTGCTGTAGTCTAAAAATTTTTTGACTGATCTATTTCTGAAATTCTTTGGTGCACTCCAGAGCCTGCAAATATTGGCAATATGATCTCAAGTGTCTCTTCATTTTTGGAATCCAGCTTAAATATGGATTCAAGGTAAAAGCCTTTCTTGAAACACCTTGAGCATCGTTTTGCTCATATGGGAAATTAGAGCAATGGTCCTGTAACCACTTCTTGGTATCTCCTTTCTTGAGGGTTGGAATGTATATTAAACATTGCCAGTCTGTGGGCCGTGTTTTGTTGTTGATATTTCCTGAAATATTCTTGTTTGGATTTTGGCAGATTCAGTCTCTGGGTAGAAATAGTTCTCAGTATCCCATCTATCCCTACTGATTTATCTCTGCCCTGTGCTTTCAGAACAGTTGAACTGCAGGGTCTTCCCCATAGGAGTCCTCTTCGCAGCACTGGGATTCTTTTTGTGCTCTTCAGCTTTACTCTAATGGTGCATATTAACATTTCATGATTGGTTCCATAATCTGCTCCTGGTCTTGTTCGGACAGAGAGGATATAGCTTCTCCATCTCCTGCTTCCATTTCTGACCTCTTAAGTCTAAATTTCCAACCACATTTTGTTCTGCTTTGTGTCTTTTGCATTCCAGCCACTCATTATAAGCATGAGCCTGCTAGGAATCCAAGCTCATAATGGAGTCTAGCTCCTGGGTGTAACTTTATCATAGCGATGTGTTGAAAGCAATGATGAATAAAGCATTTTATATTGCTGAGATAGAGATCCAGTGTTGTCTAGTGGATTGAGTATCAGTTAAGGACTGGATTCAGATTCTTTGTTCAATCATGGAAATTTACCAGCAGGAGAAGGCGGGTGGAAGGTGTGTGGCAGTGGTTAACCACTCTTTGAGCATCTCACATACCTTGAGAACTGGGTTTGTAGTTTAGAAGTGACTTGATGGCACATGGTGTTATTTTATTTTAAATATTTTTGCCTTACCTTAAAAAGGACCCAAGGAAGCTTACATAATTAAAAGACAATATAGTGCTTATGCACTGCAGAAATATCATAGTGGAGACATGTTGAACTGGATTTTGGAATTCTTTCGCTTTCTGGTTCTTAAAATTTGGACTTGGGCTGCATCTGCCACTGGGTGGGCAGTACAAAAGAAGGGCACCGATATAAGCAGCACTTGGCTTCCTTTTTCTTTGGTCCTGTGGTACCTCCAAGACTAACAAGTTTTATTTGGCATCAGCTTTCGTGGACAGCAGCTCACTGCTTCAGCTGCATCAAGTTTGCTGTGGTCCATGAGAGATAATGCCAAATAAAACTAACTAGTCTTAGAAATGCCCCAGAACTCTGCTACTTGTTCCTGTAGCATTCTAAAATAGGTATCTTCTTGGAAAGAATATTTCTTAAGGCTTTAGGTGATTCCCAGTGTGATGTAGTTGATAACAGTCAGGCACTAGGGCTCAGGAGGCCTGGGTTTGAATTCCTGCTCAGCCATGGAAGGGGGGGAGTAAAACTGGTAAAACATTAAAAATTTCACTTATCTTGAAAGCCCTATAAGTCCGTTCGATTGAGCTTTGGGTTTTGGAGCAGTGCTCTTAATAGCAAGTTAAATATATTTCCCTTATGTTGATGTGAATAAAATCCATATCTGGAGATCTTTAAGAGAATAGATTTGGAAGGGTAGCACCTCAAAATCATTCCATATTGTGTAACCACTGCAAAAGGTAAATGTTGGACGGGTGCGCTCTAAACGTCTACCATACTGCGTCCAGGCTCTGAAGTATTCATTCTGGCCGTGCTCAGTAGAGGGGAGCCGGGCCTAACCCTAGCGGCTGTCTTGGGCAGCAACAAGATACAGTTCAGATGGGGGCAAAGACTGGCCGTGTTGCCCTCCCGCAACTGGAAAGACTTCGAATACTGTAATTTGATCCGGGATTTCGGGAACTCCGGCTCAAACGCTCGCGTGGCCGCAGGCGTGGGGAGAGAACGGCTCCGGAGAAGAAGAAGGGGGGGAAAAGCGGATCCGATTTGGGGCGTGGCGGCTGGGAGGGAAGCGTAACGGGCGAGAATCGAAAGTGGAAGCAAAGTCGGAGGGAAGAGCGGACGAAGAACGCGAGGTAAAAAAACACAACTGCGCGGCGACGGAGGTGGGATTGGGGTTAAATGCAGAAAGTAGCCCCTCCGGAGCAGGTTCTTGCTTGCCCTTGTCCCTGTGGGGCGGATCTCGAACTTCTGCAAAGATATGCTTAAAGGAGATCCGTTACCCATTTCCTTACCGCTAATTTCGGCTCGTGTAGTTTCAGCTTCCTCTCCTGAAACCGGAGTATCTGTATAGTTACGGCTAAACGACTGAGGAAATTCAGTGACCTGCCTACATGTCCCTCTTGCACGGACTCAGTTTCCCCAAATGATGAGCGGAAAAACGAGCACTTAAAAAAAACAACAACCCGAAAACGGTTGTTTGTGCCATCCCTTACTTTTGCAAAAGGAAGGCCTGCACTGTGTCTCCTTCCCAGGGCAACCCATCGTTTTCGTTTCTGTGGGGTCTGCTCTCTTTGATTGTGATCGCTTTGCCCTACCTCTCTCTCAAGAATATTAGTGAGGCGGCTTAAAACAGTGGAAGTCCAGAAGGGTCTTTAGTGTGGGAGTGATCGGCCAGGTTGGAGATCCATTATTTTTAAGTTTAGAATGTTTTTTTCTTAAGGCAAGTTTCTAGTCCCTACATGGGGAAATAGTGGGATGTAGTAGAGCGACTAAAGAGAAGCTTCAGCAGTTAAACAATTAGGGTTTCAGCAACCAGTATAAATTTATGTTTTGGTAAGCTGCCCGAAAGACAACAAATTGTGTAGTTTTATACACAGGTCTGTTTTTCAGAAATAATATTGGGTTTCCCCATGTGAAATTGGAGTCTCTTTTATAGTGCTTTGTATATGTAGTCCTTCTGTTTTGTTTTTCAGGTGTCTCAGCTTGATGGAGTCAGACGAGGTAAGCCCTTGCAGGCAACTGATGGTCAAACACTGCCTCAGTTAGTCACCTTCCTTATGGAAGGGGAAGGAAAGCAGGTGGTGGTTCCAGAGCAGCCTCCCACACCCTGGTCCAGATTTCCCCTTTTCTTTGCAATTCCACTCCTGGGTGGACACCTCCAGAACCTAGTGGTGGTATGGAGCCTTGGTTTGCCAGTTTGCTTTTGTTCCGTAGGATTCCTTCATCCAAATACCCTGGGAGAACATCCCACCAAGTGGATCCCAGGGAACGGCGACAGAGGCAACCTCATGGGAACTCAAGAAGTATCAGGTACTCCTCTCTGGGAATAGTGGCCATTGTTCATGTTTGTGATGTTTAGGGACAGCATCCATTGCATGCAGAAGAGCCCCAGTTTTCCTTCTGCATTTCTAGATAGGGCCTGGAAATAAACCTACCTCAGACCCTGGAGACTTGCTGCTGGTTAGTGTCATCCATACTGGCACAGGTAAGAGCAAGGACTGACTCAGTAGAAGGCAACTCCCCATATTCCTACTTTCTAATTTGGGATGCCCTTTTTCTCAAAGCCCTCTTAATCCTGTACAGTGGTGCCTCACTTAGCGAGCGCACTGTAGAACGACAAATCCGCATAGCGAGGACGTTTTTGCGATCGCTAATGCGATCGCAAAGCGATGGCCTCTATGGCCGAAAATCGCATAGCGAAGGTCGGTAAGCGGATCAGCTGTTCGGCAGCTCCAAAATGGCCGCCGGAAGCCCCGAAATAGCCGCATGCAGCGTTTTCGCGTCCTCGCTAAGCGAGGGGAGGGCGCGAAAATGGCTGCCAGCCATAGGGAAGCATCGCTCAACAGTGAGTTTCGGGGCCCATTGGAACGGATTAAACCAAGTTTAATGCGTTTCAATGGGTTTTTTCGTTTCGATGAGCGATGTTTCCCATAGCGAGGGTTAATCCGGAACGGATTAACCCGCTATTCGGGGCACCACTGTACATGTAGGGCCTGTTTTTGGATGTTGAAAAATGACTGAGGGACACTGCACATCCCTTGAGGTTGATCCTGCTTTTACAAGCTTCTCTGGTTTCCAACCCCAGTGTTCCAAATTAAGTCATAGGTGGTGAAAGGCTTATGGACCTGTGGTTGTCTCCTTGCCTCCAGGACATGGCCAGAGCTCTGGAGATGGATTCGTTGTCACTACAAGCAAAGAAAGAAAAATGTGAACAAGAGGCATCCGCACTCCAAAAAGAGGTTGAGCTTCTTCACAGAAGACTTGGTGAAGTTCCAGACGAGACCAAGGCCTATGAGCTGGCTTTGCAGGTATTAAACAATTTTAAGGGAGGGGGTTTCCATATTCTTATATTAAAGCAAGACAAATTCGTCACAGCAAATTCTGTCTGTGAACTGCTGGATTTTGCAACTTGGTATAAATTAGTCTGTTCTAGACAAACCAGACCCAAGTGCTTATTTTGTGTAATTATTTTGCTGCTGCAAGTCACTGTGAGGCAGGGGGCTATGGAAAATTAAGTAGGCTGCTGAAGCTGCAGTCCTTTAACAACTGAGAATTCTCCTCAGGACCTCATGCCATGTTTTGATGTCTTCCTCTCATTTCCACCAAAACACCCAAGCTTTTTGTTGCAACTGTGCAGGAGAAGTCTAGTTTCCTATGCAGACAGTTCCAGGACTTGCATAGTCTAATTGCAGTAGAGCTTGAAAAAGTTCCTCTTTTGAATTACAGTTCTCAGCTAGGGGGGATTCTAGAAAGATATTGCACAAAGTAGTTTTTTTTTAAAGCTTTAGATTATACAGAAAACACACAACAGCATAGTATAAGCAAATATTTCTAGCATTGAAACAAAGCCCCTGAATATGGTATTTGGTTGTCTTTGCGGTAGAGGTATTTACTGAGTTTCCCCAAAGTAAATCAATTCTTGCTAAAATACATGAGTCATCTCTACATCCAAGCATGTCTTTCTGTCTGTTCTTTTCCATTCTTTTATAAGGTCTCTTGAGTTGCAAACAGGAGCATTGGTGAGCCCCAGTTCTGTAAAGCTTTTGCCTTTTCAGACATTGATATCTTACCCTCCTGTCAGAGATTTGTATATAAATAATGAGTAAGTGCTCATCTAAACTGAGATATGGTGCCACAAAGCACAGGGCTGGGATCTTGAGAAAGAGAAGTTCTGTGGTTTGCCTGCCACTGCAGAGCCCCTGTTGTTTTTGTTGATTTACATGCCTTTTTCTCCCCCTGCAGGAAGAGATGATCAAAAGAGACCAGTTGGCACAAGAAAAGCAGGCACTGGAGAGTAAGTTAGAAAAGATGAACAGGCTTTATGCTGCCCAGAAAGAACTGCAAAAGGTACTGCAAAGTAAATATTTTTCGTTATAGGTCACAAAACATAGTAAAGGGAAGTAGTAATAGTAGTAGTTACAGCATCCCATCAAGTCAGTTCTGACTTATCGTGATCCTTTCCAGAGTTTTCCAGTTACAGAATAGACAAAAGTAGTTTATCATTCCCATGTTCTGGGGGTATCCTGGGATTTTGCAGCTTGCCAAGGGCTGGCACTTCTCTGAGGAGACACGGTGAGGAATCAAACTCCCAATGTCTGGTTCCTCAGACTGATACCTAAACCACTGAGCTATCCACTCAGCTAAGTGGAAATAACAGGTTGAATTAAAACTACAGTGATGCCCCGCATGATGATAATCTGTTCCGTTAGAATCGCTGTACAGTGAAATCGTCATGCGGGGGGGAAACCCATTGGAATGCATTGAAAACAGGTTAATGTGTTCCAGTGGGGAAATACCTCCTTGTCCAGCGAAGATCGCCCATAGAGAACCGCCAATCAGCTGTTTAAAATCACTGTCTTCCAAAGCTTCTGTCTGGAAAACAGCCATTTTGTGGAGGGAGGGCAGCCATTTTGCAAAGGGAAGCCATTTTGCGGAGCCGGAAAAAACATTGTTTTGCGAACAAACGGCTCGCGAAGCAAGGATCTAATCAACGTAAAGCGGATTTCCCCCATAGGAACCTTTTTTTTGCAATCGCAATAGCGATCGCAAAAAAGTAATCAAGCAATTTCGTCATTTACTGGGGTAAGCGTCTAGCTGGGGCACCACTGTACTTGGATAATTGCAGACTAAAGCAATATCTGAGTCTTTACACCAAAAGGCCTATAGGGGTGATCTCTGACAGACATCAGTCGGAAGAGCGTTCCATTATTGAGGAGAGATATGACCACAGAGAAGGCTCTATCCCTCATCTCTGCCAGCCTAATTGTTCTTGCAGATTGTCACACAAGTAAGGCCTTTGGTGCTAATCACACAGAGTGGGCAGCTTAGTATGAGGGCAGGTCGTTCTTCTGATGTTTATAGTTTTTGTCCATAAACCACCTTCTTAAAAAGAGAATCTTTTGTCTGAAACCGCAAATCTCACCTCTTGAACTTTCTCTGACTAGGAAGAGCCATACACTGCTTAAATTAGAGACAGAGATGCCAGAGGCTCAGCCTACCCTGTCAATCACACTCTTTGCTGTAAAACAACAACCATAGATGCCTGTGCCTGTTTGTTATCAATAAGACAGAAAACATTGTATGTCAAAGTTGTGGAACTTGTAACCAGAGCTTGGGAACAATCCTTATTTGGATTACACCTTCTAGAATGCTGACTGGCTGTTCTGTCTTTGAGTTTTTGTCAACTGTTGTCCCCCCAAAAAAGGAAGCTCTCCAAGCTGTGAGTGTAAGGTAGGCTGGGAGAGATACTTTGTAGGGTAGTCTCAGGATTCTAGATGCATATTTTGAAATAAAAATCAATTTCTGCAAGAAAACCCCATTCTCTGTCAACCTTCTGTTCCCCACCTCTAGGCGCCAGCTGCCCTTCCTGAGAGGAGCATGGTCTTTAAAGGCAGCGTAGAGGAAGAAGAGAAAGAGGGAACTTTGTCTGATATGCTGACAGTACTGCCCCACATCCGATGCCCCATTCCTGGAGGATCAGCTGTCATCACTTTTGAGAGTCCAGAGGGTAGGGGCAGCCATGTCTGGTTGAAATCCACACATTTGGTAGGCCCAGCAGTAGTGCCCATCAGCTGTGAAACATTCAGAAACAGACAAACCAGAATGCTCTGTCCAGCCTTCTGCTGGAGCAAGACTGGGCAACTGTTAGCCCCTCAGATGATTTTGGCCCACAACTCCCAGCAGCCCTAGTTGCTGGCAGGCAGCTCTTAATGATACACAGAAGGCCTAGTGCAGGGATGGGCCATATATGGCCCTGAGGCCACATTTGTCCCCAAGGCTGCCTCTGAGGTCCCCAGCCTCTTCCTCTGCTCTTCTTTTTTCCAAATAGGTCCAGAAGCCAAATAGATCATAGCCCCTCCACACCATTTAACGCCCCCTCCTGAATTCTGATTTTTCCAAATACTCAGTGGACTTCAAGCCACTTCTAGATTTCATTTCATTTCCCTCCTTTTTGCAGTTTCTGTGCTCCCAATCCTGATAGCCCTGGAAGGAAAACTGGCCTGTGAACTTGCTACAGTTGCCCACCTTTGGGCTAGTGAAACTAAGATTTGCCCCTTTTCAGTATAGAAAAAGACCTTAAGAAGTCAACGTAATGCGGATTCGTCATAGAGCGGGGTAATCGTCCAGCGGGGCACAACTGTAATTGGATCTCTTTCCTCCCTGTCAGTCGCCTCCCGGATCATTGAAATGGGACGGCATCGGGTTCAGCTGGATGACTACAGCTATATCTGGGTAAAAGCTGAACCAGTGACCTTAATATTGCCTACATCTTTGGAGGTGGGTCCAACAACCTCTTTCACCAGATCCTAAGATACACTGTACGTTTGGGGTGGGATGGATTTTTATCCTGCTGATATCATTAGAGTTGTTTTCTCTGTAAGCAGGATGGTATGTAGTGAAGAGGAATATGTAAATCCTGCATCAACCTCTGCATTAATCTGTGACCAAGAAATGCAAATGGGCATTTAGCTGCTCATTTTGCATAATTTATACTGCATAGAAATCTCTCTCTTAGATCCATTCAACTCTGGCATCTGGGATTTCATGAGGGATGAGTTTCGACCTATAGCCCTCTTTATGGTAGAAGAAGTTTGAAGATCGGAAAAGTTGTGGTAATTAAAATAACTTTTCTGAGCTGTAGAACTGCCAGCTGGCCCTGCCCCAAGGTCATGTAGCCCTTTGCCCCCACAACTACATCTAGCTTTGATAGTTATGAATGTAAAACATTTAGGTAAACCTTTCATAAGAGCTGGGAGATTGTACAGCTGGGATTATGTGAAAAGTTCTTGGATATACATGTGGATGTTGGCAGGGACAGTCTCTTGTCAGGGGCAGCAAGCTGCTGAATTCTGTGTTTAGTAAATCAGGCAAAAAAATTTAAAATAATAAAACAAAAAAATAGTAGCACCTTAAAGACCAACTGCAATATTAGTCTTTATATTAAAATATAGCAGTCAATCTTTAAATTGCCACATTGTTTTTATTTTATTTTATTTTGCCTGGCATGCTAGCACAGACTAACACCTAGAGTGGTCATATCAACCAGATAGGTGGGGTATAAAATAAATAAATAAATAAAATAACATGGCTGCCTCTTCTAAAATCACAACCATGGAAGGCACATTGTTTAGTATGACACTGTTTTGCACACACATGCAGCACAAACATGTACCTGTGATCATACTAGAGGCCTAATATGTGGCCGTTGGCCAGCACTTGGCCCAATACTGGATGATTAACACTCCTTTGGTCTTGTGCTTTGATGGTGGGACATTTTGGCTACGGAATTCTAGGAACTGCAGGCTATAATGTTGCTTCAAATTCTGAGGTCCCTGGATCTTTGTTCTCCAGCTAGACGGTGGTGTGACCATCAGGATTGTCTTTTCCAAGGTTTATTCCTTTTCATGCGCTTCCTCCCCCGACCCCACTCTGCAGGTCTCTATGGAACGAAGTCCCAGGCAGATCTTGGTGTCTGGGTGGCCTGTCTCGGTGGTGCCTGAGGAGCACCTGCTCGACAAGGTTGAGCTGTTTTTCAGCAAACGGCAGAACAAGGGCGGCGAGGTGGAGCGTGTGGAGTGGTTGCCCAACTCTGGCCATGTGACCCTGACCTTTGTGGAGGACGGAGGTATGAGGCAGTGCAGGGACAGAACTTTGGAAAGTTATTTGTGGAACTATTGCTTTTGCATCCTTTCTTGGCCCCTGGGTAGATCTCCCAGTAGATTCTGGAAGTTATAGCCCGTGTCCAGTACCCTGTTGATCTTCCAGTGAACAGAAGGTCCTGCCAACCTAGTAACATGGTATTGGCCTCTTGTTGGGATTGTCATTGCACAAGTGGTGAGCTCCACAAAGAACCCCCTCCCCAACCTTCTCTTTGTAGGGCAATCCTGTGCCACTACCTTGGTGGGACTTTCACTCAGTGATATCCCAACAGATAACCTTCCTCTCTTTGGGGATGAAAGAAGTTGGTTATTCTGCACTCATGCTGAGTAGGTAGGTGAGAAAACACTTTAAATAAAATTCAGATAGAGCGAGCCCAAGTAAGCAGCTCTTGAATTTGGTCAGTGCTCCATCTAATTTAGTGTTTTAACTGCCAAGTTACCCTCACTTTCAAGAAGCACATGAAGACAGAATGGGAGTAGTGGTAGACACAACTTATACCTTTTTCTGAGAGTGTAACACTACAGTCGTGGTCAGTCTTGTACAGATCTTGGTAAAGGCACTCGTCAAAATAGTTTTCATAGGTACGGTCCCCATAGCCAGAGCACTAATGAGAGTCCAGAAATATAGAACTACTATCTTGCTCCATGTGAAGAAAATTAAATTATTTTTAATTGCCACCAGGAGTAGGTCTTTTGCAAAGCTGAGTCATCATTGTCCATTCAGAATCAAACCACCATCAAATACTTTGAATAACAAGATGAATTGTTAACAAAAATACATTTTTGGTAGGTTTATATCTGTGAAGATTCTCAGTCATCCAGGTGAGGTTATCTGGAAGTTGAGTCATGACAACTGAACTTCTTTCTTGTTAGGCTGAAACATTTTGCTACTCATCCAAATAGCTTCTTCAGCCTGAGGATTGTTGGTAGGAGACCCCTGATATATTCTCCACATTCCTTTCACTGTTCCTCCTAATGGAACCAAGAGTGAGACAAAGAAGTCACTGTACTTCATTCCCTTTATGCTGTTGATGGACTACAGTATTTCTTAATAGTGCTTAATCCAGTTTGATCACCCTGTAGAACAAAAGACATCCCGATACCAGAGTTTTACGAAATGTAGTCCTTACATTTCTATATTTAATGAACTAGATTAGGCATCCTTCAGTCTTGAGAGACTATGGTAACATGCTCTGTAGACTTAGAACAGTGTCTAGTGTGTCTGAGAAGGCCAATTCGAGAGTGACAATCCCTTCCACACTGAAGACAAATCCAATCTGTCCCCTGTCCAGCTTCCTGATTTTGCTGGTTTCAGACTGCCTCTTTGCCTTGGCCTGCTAGACAAGTGTTTCTTCAAAATGGGAGAGGCCATAATGCATCGCCTGCCTCCAAGCTTGAACGCTAGGCGGGCCTACAACACAGTGTAGAGAGATGCCATGGTAGTTATTGCAGTCAACCCTGTCTCCTTTGTTCTTGTACTATGTGACGATGTTTGCATCCTTCGTGTCCTGTGGTACTCCACCTTCCCTCCTGCAAAGACAAAATATTTCATACAGCTCGGTGGTGATGATCTCTTTACAGCACTTCAGCAGGGATGTTATCCTTCCCAGGTGCCAGAGCTGAGGGAATCCAAGGCCACTTTTATTTCTGCTAAAGTTATTTCGCTGTCCAACTCTTCCAAGACAGGCAGGCACTCAATGTTATTTAGTGCCTCTTTGGTTACTACATTCTCTCTGGAATATGTCTGGAAATCTCATCTCTTGCAGGGCAACAATGTCCATCTGCAGTCTACTTAGTTTCATGTCGATGACAGCTGTCTTGTACACGTCATCTATTTCCTAAAATTAATGAATTAAAGTTTCTTGATTCACATTCCAGCCCCTCATCCATTTTATAAACTTCTCTCACAATCTCACCATTGCTCTTCTTTAAAAGGCTTTGAAAATTCAGTTGACAGATTGTTGTTTTTTTTTACAGAAGAGGTGTTTTGTGAAGAGCTAGTTCCAAGTCATCTAATGCAGCTTTCGCCAACTTAGTTCCTATTTGGACATGTTTGACTATTATTCTCACAATCCCAGAGTCATTAAGAAAAGAATGGGTAAGAAAACACAATAAAGAAGGAAACATTAGCTGAAATCCTATTGCACATTTACACAAACATAACTTTTTGGAAGTACATGATTGTAAATTAAGAAATGTCCATAAATGTTATCAGTTGCATGCTGATTTGGACATTTCACTATGCAACAGGTAATGCGTACAGATGGCAATAAGCTTCCAAAAGTTAAGCCATTCGTGTAAACTGCACAACAAGATTTTAGCCCCTGCCATGCAGAAAACAAAGAACACAGTCCTTTCTTACATTCATCTCGGGGAGGTGGAGTGTTCCAAGGATTGCAGTTTAAAAAAAAGAAACTAAAAGGGAGATGCAATACACACTGGATTTTTGACAGAGGTTAGAAAACTTGATTTTTGTTTTATTTTTGAAAAACAGCATTTCCCAGAATTGCTATTCCTAGTGGTTGAGGGAAGCTCGGGGAGTTTGGAAATCGTCATCTGTGACCAGGGAGTATGTCTCAGTCACACATTTTGAATAAGGTTCTTTATCTTGACTTTTCCAGTGGTTGAACGGCTTGTCCAAAAAGGCCAATTTGAGGTACCCATTGGAAAGGAGAAGAACTGTAAGATGAAAGTCTCCCACTATATAAGTGGGCAACTCACTAACCTACAGGTGAGGGGAAAGACACACTGACACCTGTTGCACCCCTCTCTGGCAAAGAAATTAACCACCTTTTTTTCATCTAAGGAATGATTAAACTCTGCTGGGATATGCGAACACCAGCTGAAGGCGGGGGGAGGAACCCTACGTTGTTTCCAATGAGTAGCTCATTGGTCTCTGAAGGGTGTGTGTGTGTGTGCATGACTGTTTATCCCTTTCCCTTCTCTGTGTATTGGATTTTCCCTTGGGAAGCAAATGGTGAAGCATCTGGCAAGTGTGTAACTCTGGGGATCTGGTGTCTTGTTAGAATTCTAACTCTGTTTGCCGTTGGGGTTTGCTGTCTTGACTGGAGTTTGGAGGGAAAAACTATTTAGACCACAGCTCTCAGAGTCTATGCTGGCATGGAGCGGGGGAGTCCTTAGCAACGTTCCCAAGTTGTGGTCTGGTTTTATAAAGGCCTCCCTCCACCTGCCTCTGCCCTCTTTTCTCCCCATCTTAGGTCCACCCTTCAGTCTGCGCTCAGTGTGTCCTCCTGTCAGGAATTCCAGATGTCTTGGAGGAAGACTTGATGCGTGAAGCTCTGGAAGTTCATTTCCAGAAGCCCAGCAAGGGTGGGGGAGAGGTTGAAGGCATTGTTTATATCTCGAAGGGACGCTGTGGAGTAGCAGTCTTTGAGGAGGCAGAGGACGAAGCGGCTCTGCTTTCCTGACTCGGATAAAATTTCACCTCTGGTGCCTCGCAAGTGCTTGGAAGACTGCACTGGACCTGAAGAGAGGAGATGAAACACTGTCATTCTGGGAAAGGAGAAGGGGATGGTTTTCTAGTTCAGGTTGGCTGGAATATTGTTGCTTAGCGTAGTAAATTGCAACTAGAGTAGTCTTAATTTGAATCAGTGGAATGTCTAGTCAGATTTACTAGACTAAGCAACAGGATTTCAGCCATTGTGAAACAGTGCAAGAAGGCATCAGCTGACAAGTAAATATCAGCAAAGTGCCAAAATAGAAAACAGAGTTCATTTTGCTGATGGTTGTTGTTCATTTTGCCCTTTATCTGAGGGGTGTGAAGTACCAAAAAAAGGGAGGGAGGTCTCTGGAGCAGGGACTAACTGTTGCTCTGCTATAGTGTCATCTCTCTTTTTATGACATTAAAAAGTATTATACAAGATTTTGTATTTTCATGCTTTGGTTATTTGGTTTAATAATCCCATAACTCGACATTAATAATTACTCTGGTTCCCTAATACATTGGGGGAGGGGTTAACCTGGGAGGAGGAGGAAATGTCAGAAAATCAATAAACAGAATGACAAAAATCATGATGTTCACATATAATTCAGTACATACAGTGATTACCCAGTGAAAATGCATGCAGGAAGAACACCATGTTCACTTTTGATCATGTGAGCAGTTCTACAAGGTACAGAGCGTGCATTCATTCAGTTGCTGTGTCTTGCAAGTAACAACGGCTGTTTTGTAAAATGCTCTGAAATGGTGGCTTAGTGTATAGGGCTTTATTCATGGATGAAGCCCTAGCTTCTGTGTGTTGAGAAGCGGGGCGGCATTTGCAAGCTACCTGCAACTGCCTCTGGACTGGTCCACAGAATTTGGTCACTCCTTCCTCCTGGGGGAAGATTCTGAAGTGTGATTCCTTTCCTCAAAACAACCTGGTGAGGTAGGCTGGACAAAGGAACATTAATGAGGAACCTAGGCTTACCCAGTGAGCTGCTTTGTGGTTGGAAGGAGCTTGGATATATAAAACAAATACAACACACAAGCACCACACATTTATTTCTGCAAATATTGAGGAATATTCTCATTCCTTCCCCCCTTATCTGGACCTTCTACTTCAGCAACAGAGCCAGGAGGAAGGGGGGGTCCTTCTCCTTTTCTGGTTTCTTATCTCTTTCATGTCCTAGAGACCCTAGGAAAGCATTTCATTATCTATCAATGTCTAGGATTTCACACTGGAATTCTTGGATTGCTATCCAAGGCTGAAAAAACTCGCAAGATTTGTTCCACCTTCCTTGTTCCCTGGCTAGTCAACAACAAAAAAGAAAGGCCTCCCTCCCTCACTTCTGAAGAAGAGTTTAGTGTGACATGAAAGCCTGCTTCTATAAAAAAAATAATAAATCCAAATGCTAGCTGTCACTTGGCTTCTTAAATGCAAGATTGTTTTTACCGAGGAGAACAAGAAGTGTAGATATTGCCTGTATTTGGAATAAGCCATTCATTGCCTGGTATCCTAAGTGGAAGACTTCTCTTTTATCTCACAGCAACACCACATCCTTCTTTTAAGGGAATGTCCTTGTCCAGAAAACATGTCTATCATGACCATTTCTAACTGAATGATGCTCAGCATCAAGGTGCTCATTAGTCAAGGACTGGCCTAAATGAAGTTGGTCTCTTGTACAAAAGGATTTTGAGGATTGTTCACAAAGTTATTTAAGTGATTGCTCTTTCCACCCTAGCCTATTTTCAGATTGGGTTCAAAAACATTTTTAATTGTTTTTGTATGTTTTTGACCTTTTAATAATTTTAGCATATTATTTGTCAGGAACCCTGCTGGGCAAAAACAAACAAACGAAAAAACCAATAAAACAAAGCTCAGCATGCATGCATTAAAACATTTTATTTTCATAAACTTAACTACAATATTATGGAAATTATTACAAAATTTATAGTTGGGGGCGTATAGACTTTTTAAAAAAAACTTGGTAAGTCTAAACCTGTAAGTAAATCTGCGAAAGTTAATTGGAAGCATTTTGGTCTCATCCGAGGCCCACAGCCCCTCCAATCAGTTCTAAGCACCCAAACAAAATACGAAGAATCTTGCATAAAGCACAGAAATGCACAGACAACTAACTGCACTGCCTGGATCCTTGTTGCACGTACAAAGACAGTGCGTGGGGATGCCTTCTGGAAGGCTTCAAGATCTGAAGAGAGTCTGAGCAACAGCAGCTTTGCAGAACTGCATATGTTGGGTTGAGGATGTTCGAATCTTCCTGCTACATAAAAATCAAAGACTCTTCGAATCTAAAATTGTTCGTAAAACGCCAATCGGGCGTTTTCTGAAAATTAAGCAAAAAAAGGTACAACTGTCCTCCTTCCATAACTGTTATCCTGAGTTAGACTATCCCTGAACGTCTAATTAATTGCCTGTCCAACGCCGTACCCTTCTGATGCGCGGCACCACAATACCCATCTCCCAGTCTGCGCGGCCATGCTCGCAGGGGGTTCCAGGAATCGGGACTCAACTTGGACGTTTATCTTTTCGAATTAAAAGCTCGCCGAATTACCGTCTTGGATTCTGAGAGTTGTTCGCTAAAAAAGTAACTTTTCCACGCTCTCGATTTAAAGACTACCCACACCAAAAGGGGCAATCGTACATGGATAAACCCACTCTCCCTTGCGACTGGATGTGCCTGCGTTTCTGTAGCGCGTGTCGCGTGACTTCTGTAAACAGAAACCCAGCACGTAGGAAAGCACTGTTCCGTGTCTCCTTGGGTCGTTGGCGTCCCTCCTCCCCCGCCTTCTTCCGGGCCTTTTCTTTTGTGCAGAGTGGGTGGTTCTGGGGCAGAGGTTTCGTTTTCGGTTCAGGCTGTGTTGTCTGTTGTTACCGCAACGTTTTTCGAGGTACGTGCTTTTTCCCCCCATCTCCCCCGCTCCCACCACCCCCTTTTATAATCGCCCGCCTCTCCCCTCTCCTGTCGACCCTAACCCACCGCTAACCCTCCCAGCCAGAAGCGTCTTTGTTGTTGATTTTTTTCTTCTTCAGTTTCTCCTCCGTGTCCACGGCTTGAGCCTCCTCCCTTCGTTGCGCCGTCTTTCCGCCACTTCTGTTGGGGAAACGCGGGAAGTGGGGGGTTTGGGAAACGAAAGAGGTGCCTCTCCCCCGACCCCCCCCCCCCAAAAAAAAGGGGACGGCGGCTGGCCGGTTTTCTAATTCCCAGCTACCGTCTCCTAAGGCAGAGATCCCCGAGTCTCATTCTTGGCTGGTGGGGTGTCTGCTTGTTTTAAATGTGCTCCCAAGCCATTTCAGATTTAGGGGGAACCCTGTGCCTTAAACTGACTGCCAGGTTATTAACCGCTTTGCTCAAGTCTTGCAAAGTCAAAATCGTGGCTTCTTTCATGAAGTCCATCCTTCTCATTTTCGCTCTCCCGTTTTCCCAGTTCACTTTTTTTCCAGCATTGTTTTTTCTAGTGACTCTTGCCTTCTCATGATGTGCCCCAAGACTAATAATTTCAGCTTAATCCTTTTTTTGCCAGGGTTGGGGGAGGTAGCTGTAAATGCAGTGTGGATGGCCCATTGTGTGTTCACTCAGTCTATAGGTAAAGGTAAAGGTTCCCCATGACAATTTTTGTCCAGTCGTGTTCGACACTAGGGGGCGGTGCTGATCCCCGTTTCCAAGCCATAGAGCCAGCATTTTGTCCGAAGACAATCTTCCGTGGTCACATGGCCAGTGCGACTTAGACACCGAACGCTGTTACCTTCCCACCGAGGTGGTCCCTATTCATCTACTTGCATTTGCATGCTAGGTTGGCGGGAGCTGGGACAAGCGACAGGTGCTCACTCCGTCACGTGGAGTCGATCTTACAGCTGAAGATCTACAGACCTTACAGCACAGAGGCTTCAGCGCCACCACGTCCCTACTCACTCAGTCTATAGTACCACTTAAAACTGACTGGTCTGGGGAGAGCTCTCTACTTACTCAGAGTTTTTGCTCTTGTTAATCAACTTCCTGGCTCATCCACACCCTGACAGGCCTATGATATCACTGAATAGCAGGCCGCTGAAATGAAGGGCCCATCACTGCAGTCCTGACTAATAGGGTGAACAGGTAGTGATTCGTACAGAAGGTTACAGCTTTGCTCTACCACCTTTCCAACATGGGACCCTCTACCAGATTTGGGTTATGGCTCCCATCAGCCTCAGCCAGTATGAGTAAGGATCAGGGAGGAACAGAGTTGTAGTCCAAAACAGCTAGAGCAATACTGGGTTGGTGAAGACTGAGACACTGAACAGCGAATGAGGATGCTGCAAGAGAGGAATTGGAACAATTAAGAGTTAAGAATGCATGTGAAACATTTTAAACTTCAAAAAATCATATGCATAAATGTTTATTGGTTTTGGTATTATTTCAAGTGGAAGAAGAACTGCCACCTGTTTCTGAACTGATTTATTTGTTTGCATGATTTTGGAAGTTGTACTTTGCCCATGACTAAGAAGTGCTCAGGGCAATTTAAAATACACTGAAATGCTAAAATTACAACAATAAAACCACATGCTTAAAACAACAGTGGACAGCATTTTCACAGACATTTAAAGATTCTCATAAATCTGAGAAAAGATTGTGGAGAAACAGTTTCATTTTTTTCCATAGCTAGACTTTCCTGATGCACTGAACTGGGAGAAAGACCAGTAACGCCACTGGTGAGGCTCTGGACTTTGTGCCACACTCAGAGCAGAATTCAGTTTGTTGAACTCCACAGTGGCTAACATGAGTACAATCCCCGCTTTCCTGTGACTGTGCCTCAAAAGGTTGGAGGGAATTGGAGCCATTTTTAGCATGTGGATTATTTGAAACGGTGGCGAGAGGGCAAAAGACTAACCAATTTGTACTTATGTGGCTGAAAAAGATATTTTGGCTTTACTCTCATGCTTCATAAGCACATTGCTAAAATCTCATATACTTCTCTTAGAAACATTAGTGTTTATTAATGTCCTGCCACTTACAGCTTTCTCCCAAGGCAGCTACCAGGTTCATAGCATTCCATGACTTCATAACAAGACAGCGAATTTTCCCCTATTGGAAAAACGTTGAGCGATCGCATTAGCGATCCGAAAAAACGGATCGCTATGCGATTTCATCGTTATACGGTGCGCTCGTTAAGCGAGGCACCACTGTACTTCTCTTAGAAACATTGGTGCTTATTAATGTCCTGCCACTTACAGCTTTCTCCCAAGGCAGCTACCAGGTTCATAGCATTCCATGACTTCATAACAAGACAGCCAAGTGCAGGAAGTCACCATTGTGAAGCATGCCTTTTAAAAGGTTGATATTATATGGCATCAGACACAGAGCTTAGAAAGTTATTTTGAAAAAGAATGAATATAATGCCCTTCATAACTGAGCAGTGACAGAAAGATTCTCTGGGACAGTCAGTGATGAATGGCCTCAAAACATCAGTGCGTTCAGATTTCGTAAGCTCTGATAAGGCACTATTTTTCTTTAAAAATATATAGTCCAGAATCCTTGCATTTAGCAGGCAGTTCTGCAAGTGAACCTACCTATGCTGCTGTCCATCCGTCCCAATGCCTGTTTCCTCGGGTCAAGGACATGGCCACACCTTAAACGGCAAGCCAAGAGGCGGAAAAAAACTGTGCCATTGTCCCGGTATACATGGGATTGTGGCCACATTGTGTCAGTCTTAGGAATAGTCTAGAGCAGGGGTCCCCAACTCCCGGTCTGCAGCTCACGGAGACAGATCTCGCAACGCCCCCCCCCGCATGCACTCCCCACACATGCCCAAACGCACACACAGCCCGCCCACCCGCATGCACAGGTGTCCCGCTGACATGCACCAGTGCACCGTGCCCATCCGTGCATGTGCACAAGTGCACCACACCTACCCACAAGCATGCCATGCTCACCTGTGTGCATGTGTGCGAGTGTGCCTTTCACCCACGAGTGCACTGTGCCCACCCATGCATGTGCACAAGCACGCCACGCTCACCCATGAGTGTGCCCTGTGGATCCACGCGAGTGCCCCCACAAGCGGGGAGTGCCACGCCCCCCCAACCGGTCCGGGGGTTCAGAAGAGGTTGGGGACCACTGGTCTAGGGCTCTGTTTCATTGCATGTTGCCCTACCAACTCCCCAAAACCTTGCTTCATAATTGCTGCTTTTCTCAAAGTTCCTCCTGTGTGGCTGCCAGCCACCTAAACATTGGGGTGAGGAGTCCATGGGCAAGTTGTGCAGTATGTGTGAAACCAGAGCACCCACAATGAAGGAAGGCATCAACGACTCCATTTTGTAGTGCAGATTCAAAAAACTCTTTGTCTGTTCGGAATTTAAAAATGCCAAAGAGGTGTTGTGGTTCTGTCAAGGGCCACATATTTCAAGAAAAGTGTTTGGAGGCCCAATGAAAAGATAAATCCTATTCTTTCAGGAAAACAATGACTTCCTTCAGGTTGTCCCATAACTCCACTCCATGGTGTCTCTCTCTCTCTCTCTCTCTCTTTCTCTCTCACACACACACACACACACCCCACACACACACACACACACACACACACACAC